GCTCCCTCCACAGAGGGAGCAGTGCCTTGGAATAGTGACTAAAGAGCATTTTCTTCATACAGAATAATCCAGGCAGAGTGGAATGACATAGCTTTCCCGTTTTGGATTTAACACTGCAGTATGCTATAAGAAACAACAGAAGTTTCTTCCAGAAACACCTACAAAACGCCTGTTTTGGAAGTATTTCTCAGGTTGGTAAATAAGCACACAAAATGACAAAGCATTTTAAAGATGTTATGGGAATACAACAGAAGATTGGTGAGGAGGATTGTGAACACACTCAAGCGACTCGCAATTGGGGTGTTGAAAACCACATATATCATACTAACTTTGCTTAGCTTTGTGTGCTTGACTGCATTTAGATAACATAGGCTTCTGACAGACTCAGAGGCACCCTAAGGAACATCCTTGAGATTTCTGCCCTGCTGGGGGAAAGATCAAAGCACAGTGGAAAACTACTCCCTGATATATACAGGCCAAAGCAGCAGGTTCGAGACCTTTTTCTTTTTTCTCCTCTTTCTGGCGAGCAAGGACCGAGCTGTGTGGTGCCTGTGTCCCTGCTTGCGTGCCTCTGCTCAGCTGCTGCTGTGGAAATCCCCCAGGTCGCACAGTAACAAGAATAAATTCACTCTTTGCATTTCATCCATATTCTTGTGGTTGTTTCTGCATCGTGCCTGTGTTGGCTCACACAGATGTATAAGAAAAAAAAAAAAAAAAACAAACAGCAATGTAACATTTAGTTTGGCATTTTTCCACTTGTATTTCTAACACTTCCAAGTCCCTCTTTACAATCACCTACCCTTGGTATTTTGTAACAAAGTTTCAGGAGATAAGTTTTCAGCCTAAGGTTTTCACATACTTGTTAACTATTTGATATTTAATTTTTTTTTATGGGCATGATGACTTCGGTTGTTCAATCCCCCCTTTCCAGTAGATTCCACACCCCACCCCCCCCACCCCCCAAGAAAACTGCAACACTCTGGTGCACATATTTAATGCTTTAGTCACTGAAATTGAACAAGTAAATTAGTTGCAAGAAAAATATTGAAATATAAATTTGGTAAAGTACATTTCCTCACAGAGGACTAACCACGTGCCACAGACCTGTGTGCAAAAGAGAGCCTATGAGCAATTTTCAAAGCATGGAAGCATACCCTAGGGCAGAGGATTAATAGCAGAAGTTTCAACCTAAAAAGATAATAAACACAAAATTAAGCTCTGGAAAACAGAAGCACTAACTACAGTTGTCTTGTCAGTCATAGTTGTACATCACTACCCCAAAGCTACTACAAAAGCTCTCCAATTAATATGACTAATCCTTAGCAGGTATAAGTCAGTATAGCTCTACTGAAGTCACTGGAATCTGTGACTTCACAGGAACCGATGTATCCTTAAGTGTGGCTCCAAAAAAGCTACCGCATGTACTTGTCACAAAAGCATGGCAGAATAATGGCAGGGTTATTTAAATAAAGATGCACAAATACTGAATAGTACAAGAATACAAAAAGTATGAACATCACAGAATGTTAGTTCAACAGTACTGGCATTTCTAACCAACTGTAATTTTTAAAAAGTCTACCATTCAGTACATATTTGAAAAGTTACAGCAGAACAATAGATTTATAAAGAGATTTGTTCCAGTTTTTAAGTAGAAAATACAAGTTATATCTTCCAGTTTGTATTAATCTTAGCAAATTTCACACAGCCTTTGGTTTCAAACCAATACAATGCAATTAACATTACAGTGCTTGCTTAGTATTCATTAGGAGAGGACACTGTACAATTGAGGGAGCAAATGTGAAAAACAGGAGTACCAAAGTACTGTATTATAGAAAGTAAGGGCTGAAGCAAAAATACTCTTCAGTATATCCTGTACATCATGTAAACACACATTCAGAATAGTAAACAGGCTAATACGTCTTCTAAGCCTCCCAGTTACATTACAGCATACATATATATATATATATATATAGCATATATAACATCATCTTTAGGAAATGTAGCCCATTACATCCTAATTCTGTGCTTAACTCATTTGTGATTCAGACAATACATTCATATATTAGCAGTACATCTCATATACTATTTGGAGTTTGCTGGCTGCCATAGACAAAGACAGATCAAGTACTGAGCGTTGCTGTTAACTCAGATATTGTCACTATATAAGCAACATTCAGTGGTTCAAGAACCACCTTCCTTGTTACCAAAGCTGAGAATTTTCTGATTTATGTATTGCAAATCAAGCCGCAACTCTCTTATTTGCAGAACAGTAGTTCTCTCAACTATTTTTTTATTAATTGGGTAAACAGCCTCTATTTTAAAAAGCAGATACAAAAATTATCAGTAAACACACACACACAAAATTATTACTTGTATATATAACAAACAGTCTCTCTATATTCATTTAGAGTTTTGGATAATACTTTGAACAGACACAAAATTTTTTGAATGTTGTATGAAGCAACTTACTTGCTCACCTACAACAAAAAAGAAAGTAAGATGAATAAAACTTTTTTGTTATTTATCAAAGTGGCTTTTAATAGCATTGTGAGATATGCAAATCTACTGTAGCAAAATGTTATAGAGCAGTACTAGCATGAATTAGATATTAATGCAAGAAATGAAGCTTAAGATGTTTGTAAGAAAGACCTCAGTGCCTCGTATTAAGAATTCCTTCCGGCATTAAACCTTCCTCACATCTGAGTAAATCATGACTGACTATCTTTCTTCAAAGCTTCTAGTCTTTGTAGTAATGCATTTCCAAACACTTCCCGATATGCAGGGCTGAGTGAGTCCAATAAGGAGTAGACAGTTTCATGGTATGGAGTTTGCAACCTGTCATCAGTCTGATCAAAATCATAAGCTACTACCTGCAATAAAGAAATCGCTGGTTAAATTTCTGTGGTTAGGATCACCTCGCCATAGGAAACATAGCACAACATTCAACTTTGCCAGTGAGGGCGGTAGGGTAAAGTGAAAACAAAAGATACTGCATTTAAATCTCAACCTGTGCTGTCTCCTATGGGGCTTAGTGGTAATATGCTTAGTTGTAATACATTTCAGACAGTTTCAAATACCTTCTGTCGAAAACTCAGAATATTAGTAAAATCTATCATTACGGACTTTGAAAAGAAGCCTTACATCTACGTGTTTGCACAAAAAATACAAATGGTGCAAAAAGGAGTTGTATACGTGCTGTATTACCGACTTATCTGGGTACCCAAGAAATCCAAACACTGACATGCCTATAAGGAATTGCTGCTTCAATCTTCATAATTTTCTGTCTCAAATAAATGCTAAATGCCTGGGTTTTTTTCATCAACTTCCCCTCTTGCTTTGTTGGAAGTAATTAGTTAAAGTTTCACTCTCTGGGAGAAAACATGTAGAACAGGCTTTCATAAAAGTACAAGAGAATATGTATGCTGTTTTGGTGTCACTGAAGTATTTTTCTAGGCACCTTTTGAACATGATCATCGTTCAAAATAAAGAGGCTTAACAGATTATAAACAAATTAGTTTACCCTAAGTCCTGCTTCGGTGAGCTCCAGGCAGTATCTGTTCCTTTCCCTGGTTTCCACATTGATATATGCCACATCCTCTGCACAGGGAAGGGTTTTTGAGACAAACATGTTGCTGACAGCAAACAGAACGTCATTCACAACAGCTTCAGCTTCTAGCCTCATATCTTTCACATCTGTTCCTTCAAAGTCTCTGTAATCGGAATCCTCTTCAAAACCCGTATTATTGGGCAACTCCATAGGATTGCAATCAGTCTCCATTCTGCATATGGAAACATCTATTTTAGATTTATCATACCACTACACTCAACACGTATTAACACTATAAAACAAGAGTTATAGCTTAAGCAGACATATTTAACATTGTCCAAAAAAAAGGAAAATATGGTGTTGAGAACAACTGCAAAATAAAATGTTGATAACAACTGCTTAAGAAGGTTACATTAGCACACAGAAGCAGAAACAGTATCCCTGAAGTTGCTGCTTCTTACACAAGTGACTCACATTTGCTTGTGTAAGACTCTGTTATGATTCAGCAGTAATTAATTTTGCACTTTGCAGATCCAGAATGCAGTAGGAAGGCGAGTCACTCCTGGAAAAACTGAAATCAATAGCTGTATGAAATAAAAACCTACTGTTGGTGAATTTAAGAAAGACTGTGAAAAGTCTGGGTTATCGGAGACTATAAAGACCTACTAACAACAGCTTTTTGTTCACCGTCACTAAAGAACAATTCTCTTGCTAAGCTTTTAGGCACAATCAATACATTTCAGAGACACGTACAGCCGGCCTTTGTAAGCGACTGTTCCCAAAAAGGGTCGGGCTCGGGGGGGGGGGGGGTTACCACAGCGGCCGCAGCATTTGCCTCCGGTACCGGTGTCGCCAGGAGGCCTCAGCCGACCCGCAGCCCCAGGGAAACCCGCCGAAGTTGCGCGGGGGCGCCGCCCCGGCCGCTTCGGTGGCCGAGCGCTGCGGCCCGGAGGGAGCGCGGCACCCCGACGGGCGCCACGCGAGACATTCCCTCGGCGAGACATTCCCCCTGCCCGACAGACCCCAGCTCGGACCTGCAGACGAATTCCAAAGAACCTGAAGGCAGCCGGGGTGTGGGGTGTGTGTGTGTGGGGGGGAGGGGGGGGGGGTGTGTGTGGGGCTGCCTGCCGAGCCGCGCTGCCCTCCCTCCCTCCCTCCCACTCCCGGCGAACCGCCCCGCTTTTACTGACAGCGAACCGGCCGGGCGCCCCGGGAGCCCACCTACCAACCACCTACCGAAGCCCCACCGCCCGGCCCCAGGCGGCTCCGGACACACGGGCGCCCGCCGCTCCGCCCTGCCGCCTCCCCCGGGGCCGTTCGTCAGCCCCAACCGCCACCGGGCCCGTGAGGGATCCCCCCCCCCGCCGCCGCCGCCGCTTCCGCCCCCGCCTCCTCCGCTCCGCGACGCCACTTCCGCGTGGACGTCACGGTGCCGGTGACGGCGTTTGGCGGGGGGGGGGGGCCCGCGCGCGGGGAAGGAAGGAAGGAAGGAAGGAAGGAAGGAGGGAAGGAGGGAAGGAAGGAAATAAGGAAAGAAGGAGAACAAACAGCCCGGATCTGCCCGGCCGCCCTCTCCGGAGAGCTGAGGCGGGGGGAGGCCCGCCCGCCGGCCCCTTTCTGCGCCCCGCAGCGCGGCTGCGGCGGCCCCCTCCGCGCTCGCGGGCCGCCGAGAAGATGGCGGCGGCGGCGGTGGCGGTGGTGGTGGTGGTGTCCGAGTGAGATGGAGCGACCTGCCAGCGCCTTTTCGCCCTGAGGGGAGGCGGGTCCGCCCCGCCGGCTCTGCGAGGGGCAGCGGGGGCGCGGCCCGGCAGCGGGAAGCCCCCGCGGTAGCCCCGCGTTGAGGGGCGAGGCTGGGCCCGGCGGCTCCCGCTCGCCCCCCCCCCTCGCCGGCCCGTCCGGCCCCGGCCCCGGCTCGCCGCCCGGCCCCGGCCCGCCGCCGCCATGCCGTGGCCTTTCTCGGAGTCCATCAAGAAGAGGGCCTGCAGGTACCTGCTCCAGAGGTACCTGGGCCACTTCTTGCAGGAGAAGCTCAGCCTGGAGCAGCTCAGCCTGGATCTATACCAGGGCACCGGCTCCTTGACGCAGGTCCCTCTGGATAAGTGGGTAAGAGATGCCGGCGCTTCGCCCCCTCGGCTCCTCTGCGTCTGAGGGACCAGCTGATTCCCTGCCCCCGGCTGCCACCCACTTTATTTTCAGTACCCAGCCTCCTTTATGTAAAGAGTTACAACCATAATTAGCATTTGAGCCAGGGAACTAGTCTCTGATATGCTAGCACTTAAAAACAAACCCCCCCCAAAAAATCTCGTCATTTGTTATGCATATGTTTTTCTATCCGTGCTTTGGTTTTGTTATTTTTCATTATGAGAAAGGAAACAACAGCTAAAAGAAGTCAATAGCTGCTGATATGTCGGGAGAAGGAGCTAGTGTAGCCCAACCTACTAGAGATTGCTGCTGTAGTTACTGAGGAGCGTGTTTACTAATTACGACTGGAGATGATAAAAATACAAAGTAATCCCTGTTCAATCTATGCTTTGTCTTAATCTTGAAGGTGTCTTAGTTCTTACTGACAACGTTACGCTGAGTTTAGACCATCTAGATCTCTAAAAATTGTCCCCTAGTCTTGCAGTGGTGAAAGTACTTGTTGACAAATGAAAAGCTGTTTTTAGCTGAAGTTTGCTTAGCAGCTGGGCTGTCTTGCTTTGAACCATCTGAAGCTTTTTTTCAGTCCTGGTGTGTATGTTTTTATATATGTGTGTATGTGTCTGAACACACACACACATATGCATACTTCCAGTCTGCTGTTAGTAATCCAAAGGTCTGTGTCCATGTTTGTCATATTTCGCAAAGTTTCTCGGGTTAATTACCAACATTACTGAATTCTACCTGCCAGTCAAGTGACTGTCATGAGGAGCCTTAAGCACTGCTGTGCGTCAGTCATTGACTTCCAGGGTAGCCCAGATGAACTATGTACACAGCCTTATTGGTTTACAAAGGACTTTCAAAACACATTTTTGCTATACGACGTTCTGGTATTAGGCCTTGATGGGTACATTTTAAACTACTTGCGAATATGTGATGTTTTCAAATAATGCGTTTCCAGTTGCTTGTGTGAAGATATGTTTGAAAGTGGCAGAAGACAGACGTTTTCAGAAATGCTCAATATTACCAGTGTTTTAGTGTGGGGTTTTTTTTGTTGTTTGCTCGTTTGTTCTTTTCTTTTCTGGCTCTGTCTGCAGCTTGTTTTCTGTGGCAGGCAGTGAGGCTGTCTCGCTTTAATTGAATTATTATGCCCTCTAGTGGGTATCGCAGCACTCTGCACTAGTCAAAGTGACATTATTTAAAATGGAAATACTTTGAAACAGCAGCAGTTATAGACCAGTACTAAATGAACAGTTAATAATGTATACACAGCGATTAAATCTATATACAATAATGCTTAGGTTATATTCCCCATTTGTGGATCAGCGTTTTTCTTTTTCGCTTGTAAACAATGTCATGTTTGAGGTTCTCTGCACGTGACTTTCTCATGTATGACAGATTGCAAAACCAGATGTCACAGAAGTACTACAGCTTTTTTTTTCCCCCTCTAGTCATTGTAAGCTTGTTCTCTATGAGTCACCAGGATGACTGTATTTTTATATCCATTTTTGTGGATACTTCTGTTCATATTAACATTGTAGATATTTTAGCCAACACTCTGTGTGTTTATAGATTATAGAGATATATGGAAATACCTGGGACTATCAGTGTAACCCCTTTGCCTCTTGAGACCTGGGCTGTTTAGAGAAATCAAAATGTTACCCATGCTCTTTGTGGTTGAATTTTAATATACGTTGAATAATACTTTCACTGCCAGTGTATTACTGTGATTTCCAGCTGGAGATTTTCATTCAGCAATGTGGGAACAAGTTCTGATGTGAAGATGGTGCTTCAGTTTTAAAATTTCACTTGGAGTACTCTAATTGCTGCTTTCTAGGAAAAACTGGCTTGGTTGTAAAGTAATTTAGCTGTATGAATACTTGAATTGTTTTGCTTTTAGATAGTAAATTTCTATTTCAAAATAATAAGGAATGTAGTGAAATACGCTCATCTTTATTGCCTTGTATGTTGATAGCAAAAACACATCTGAGTCAGTTTTATTCAAAATATGGTAGCTAGCTTACTTCCTGCTATAGCAAATTATTTTGTAAAGGTTCAAGTAATTTAAATGAATCTGTGATATTTTCAAATATAGTTTTCATGCCACGTTATTATTTTGCCTCATCTTATACTGTTACTACATCTATAATTCTTCTGTTTAATTAAAAAAAAAGTTTTAATGCCACTGAATCTTAGTTGATTATTTGATTCTTAAATAATTTCCCAGTAGAACTGTTTCAGGTTCTGTTTCTTTAAAATTGGTGTCTCGTTCTGCTGCTTGAGTGGACTTTGCAACAGAAACTATAAAAGCTGAACATGCAAGCAAACAAAATTCTAAAAGCAAAGTTAGTAAGAGTATAAGCAGAGCAATAAGCTAACGTGATGGGAAAGTTGCACCTGGAGATGTAAGAATGAAAAATGTTATTTTCTGAAAGTTTTTTTGGTTCATTTTTATTTAAAAATTATTCTATATAAGTAGAACAACACTTTAAATATCATTAAAATGGAAAGTAACTTTTAAATCCCTATTTTTTACAAAGCTTTTGATGTCGACTTTATGTATTTTCTCAGGTAAAATCAGTGGACCTGTGCAACACAGGAAGGTCAAAACCACACTTTTTTTGCCAGTTGAAGATTATGTTCTGATATTACAACCACAGTCTTTATAGTGTCTTGTAATGAGATTTAGAGTGGTTTTTCTTTTGTTAAAGCAGCCTAGACAGTTCTTGTTCAGTAATTTAGGTTTTAACTGTATTTTTGAATCAGGGCACAAACAGGGATTTGCATTTTTTTTTTTTTTTAACATAAATGCAAATAATATGTTTCTTCTGTATGAATGTAATGACTGCTATATAGGGTAACAAGTGAATCTTTTCACTTAAAAATCCTAACTTACTTTTTCTGAGCTGCTGTTCCATTTTTCTCAACAATTTCACTTACTCTGTGTGCTACTGAGGGCAACTTGGTTGTAGTTTTGTTTATAATGCTAATATAAAGGATTGGGTTAACAGAACAGTTTCTGTAGAATATTGCTCTGTCCACTGAGTTAAATTTTTAAATTAGTGCTGAACACTAAGCACATTAAAATATCATTTAGAAATGGCAAATCTGTTATACAGCAAGAGATGATTATTTGGTTCCATTGTTCCAGGGTCACAGAAAAATGTAAAATGAACATTACTTTGAAATTACATATTAGTGAAATACTCTTGTCACAGAAACCAGGTACTTTTGTGTTTACTGTCAGCCTGTTCTCAGCTTTTTATTCCAAGTATTACCAGGGAAAGAATAGATTAACTTGTCAGTACTACAGTATTTGTAACAGTAAGCTAGCAGAATTTTTGAGGTATAGTGCAAATACACAGGTTATACAACTACCACTGAGAAATCTGTATTATTCCAGAAGCTAAGGAATTAATGTGAAACAAATGATGATGGAATCAAAAAACTTGAAAGTGGCCAGTTTATTATCTTTGAGTATAATTAATTTTCTTGTAGCCTCAATATGTTTTATTTGTTACAGGCAAAATTATGGATGTGATTTAAATGATTCTTATTTTATTCTTTTATTATCTTCTAGTGTCTTAATGAGATCCTGGAGTCTGCAGATGCTCCTCTGGAAGTCACAGACGGATTTATCCAATCAATTTCCTTATCTGTTCCCTGGGGGTCGTTGCTACAGGATAACTGTGCGTTAGAAGTAAAAGGATTAGAGATGGTCTTCAGGCCAAGACCAAGGCTTGGTAGGCTTATTTTTTTAATTTTCAAAAAGGAGATTCTTTACAGTTTTCCAGAGGCAAAAGGCTACACTTCCTTTAGTTAGTTCTTAGTCTTCTTTAAAGTGCCATTTAATTTACATACATTAATGATAGAGAAGGTAGTAACAGACAAAAATGTCTGACGTTTGTCAGTTGGTTGTCCAGTGTTCTGTTAAATAACAGAAAACTTTTATAGTGTTCCTACTGTTGTATCTCTTCTTCCAAACTCTTTCAGATGTGTTGAAATGAAACTAATACTGTGTGGAAAGGAGTTTTTGTTAGCTAGGTTTTTTGGGTGTTGTATGTCAGGTGCTGCTAGTCAGCATAAGTAGCTGGCTATTAGGTGGCACTAGGATAACACAGGTAAGACTACAAGGGGCTGTTACAGTGAGGGTCTGTCTGTCTTCGGCAACTTTAGAGTGAAAGGTGCATCTTCTTGTATATTTGGAGAAAAAATGCAATTTAATTGGTAACACAGTCTGAAATAATGACTTTTAGGTACTCTGAATACTTACTATCTTTGATTGTGATGCTGAGAGGATTGTCTGAGCTCTTCAAGTTTATCTGTATCTGTATGAATTTAAGCTAGTTTAGACTGTCCTGGTGATATATTTTCACTGACTATCAAACCTTCATGAATTCTATTAAGACGTGTCGTTATAGTGTATGTGAGACACTAGTGCATTTTTAGTGTGTGGAAAATTTTGATTGAATGTCTAAAAGATTTTAATTACTTTTCCTTTTACAGTGTAGAGAAGATGGAAGAAAATATTTATTTAAATGCATCATAAAGAAGAGAAAAACATTCATAAATCCTATTTTCCATCTGCATTTCATTTTTATTTGTTTATCTGGAACTAAATTTTGATTTATCTTACTGATGTAAGATTATTGCTTTGAAAGAATGGTAGTATTAAGATGAAGCTTTATTTATTCACTGGCATCCATTTAGTTCTCTGTGATGCACAGTGCTTTATAATACAGTAGAAAAACCCAACGGTGCTGGTTTTATCAGACTTCTGTAGCCACATGGATGTTTCCAGACCTGAATGCTAAACTGGAATGTTTTGCCCGTTTAACATGTTTGTGTTTGTGCTAGTTTTACTTTTGTTTGTCTATATTAGGGTGTTATAGTTGAATTTGATTAATTTTTCTAATCCAGTTTTATAGTATTTGCTCACAATGGGCTTGACATTAGCCGATAGGAAAGCACTGCCAATTAAGTTAATCTGGCTGCTAAAAAAACTTGTTCGGTTTAATATGTGCTGTGCTCTTGGATTTTATGTTCTACTTATTATGTCAGGTTTGTGTTAGACATTTAAAATGTGTTCTGAAACGCTAAGATAACAACTTAGTCGACTTTTTGCCATCTAGGATATGTTTCAAATGGAATAAGAAACCTTAAAATAATTCTTAGAAGTTATTTCCTTGATTTCATTTTGCTGATCGTGCCTGCAAAATCATACCAATATAATAAAAGTACTTTAGAAATTATTCACTTAAACCAGTGCTGAAGATTGGTTATATGAAATCCTGGTTTCGTCTTGTTTATATTGAGTTTTTAAATACCAGAATCTTACCAATGCAATCTAAATAGATGAATTTTAAAGTAGTAAAGTGTATAACGAGAGGTTGTAACCAAATTTGGTTTTAAGTATGACTTCTTACTAAGCTCTTGACACTCTTTTCTGGATGTCCCAAATGTATTATTTCATGTTATCTTTATTGTTTCTAAATATTCACAGCCAAACTTATTAATACTTCTTTTATTCCACAGCATCTGGGTCTGAGCCTATGTATTGGTCAAGTTTTATGACCAGTAGTATGCAGCTTGCAAAAGAGTGTCTTAGCCAAAAATTGACAGATGAACAAGGAGAAGGGTCCCAGCCTTTCGAAGGACTTGAGAAATTTGCAGAAACTATTGAAACAGGTATGAATTGAGATCTGAATGAACATGTGAGACTAAATCGGTTTGTGTTGTGTCTCAGTTTTACAAAATGGCATATCATTTGCCTTAACTTGTCTCACAGGTTTTCACTTATTAGCATTACTGGTAGAATTTAAACAAGAAGTCAGGACAATTGACCTTGGTTTTGAAATGGAGGAAAATAAAGCCCATTTACTAATTAAAATATCTGTATGCTTCCTTCAGTGGACAGAATGAACCCTACTTCAGGGCAAATCTGTGTTTGTTTACACCAAAACAAATACAGTTGAGTCTGTGTTTGAATGATTGCTGAGATGCCTTAGTTGTGGAGGTGCTAATTTTGTTCATCACACAAACTTAGATTGTTAGTAGCGATGCTGTTGAGGGAGAAACAGAGAATGCTTTTTCAGCTATTTTTACACAAAGTTGACCTTTTATGACAGATATACATCTCAAGAATCCCACCGTGTTGTGAGAAGTACTTTAGAAACTCTGGGTTTTTTTGACTGTTGTTTTTTTGTTAGTGGAAGAAACTAAGGGCTTGTGACCACATTATGCCGTGGAGAACCTAGTGCTGAAACGTCTGAGCTAAGTTGTAGAAATAGAAGTATTCAGCCAGAGCAGCGTGGTGCTGCGGTAATGTTTAGGGAGTTCAGACATGGTGTGTGGTGAAGTAGGTACTTCCTTTGAGAATCATCCACACCGAGCCATAGAACAACTAGGTTTGAGTTGTCACTTGCTCAGACCATTAAAGGTCCGTTGCACGGTGTGGATGTGTATATTGGAGGTTTAATGGGCATTTATATTGTCACTTGATGTCTCGCTACATAATTAAACTCAATTGATTGTTTCCACTGAAACAAATATTGAGATCTTGAAAAAAAGTGAAAGACCCCTTTAAATTAGTTATCAAAGTAATTGTTGAGTAACTTGACTTAAATGCTTGCGTGGTATCTTTCTGGTTTCTCTTTTTAAGTTTTAAGAAGAGTGAAAGTTACATTTTTGGATACTGTTTTGCGAGTAGAACATGTGCCGGAAAATTCCAAAAGTGGAACTGCACTTGAAATCAGAATCGAAAGGTAAAGATTTTTTTCTTATTTTTTTCTTATCTGCATTTTTTTTTGGTAAGGCACTTTTAGGCATTTCCTGTACAATATATTTTACCTGCGCGCACATATTTTTAATATGCAGTTAGACACTAGCTCTTGAGCACCTATTTATATAATGGCAGTGAGCATTTTCTCCACTCCCACTTAACATGTTTAAGCCAAAGATAATTTACCACCAAATTAGAAGTGTTCCACATTTTCCAGCGATAAGTTAATGACCACTTCCACAATTAATGAATACCATTTCTCAGATGTTCAACAGTCAATGGATAGTGTTGACACATCAGGCCATCTCTTCAATATACAAAAGAAACTGACCCTTTGAGTAAGACGCTTTAAATATTTTCAGAAAGAAAGATACAGTCCTGAAAAAAAAATATTCCAGAAGATTTTAGGTCCTCTGTGAGCTTTCGGAAGGGCCCACGTGTATCCTGTAATTACTTTGAACTTGAATACCATACGTGTTCTTAAAGTATTTTTTTTGACCTATGAGATAGTATAATCATACTTTCTTGCAAAGTATTGAAATCATTGCAAAATAAAACTGATTCTTACTGAGAAATGCCAGTGAAATAGATTTGGTTTCAAAACATTTATGAACTTCAGGTTGTTATGGTCAGTTCAGGAGAGATGCCAGTAAAACTGTAAGTATTTTTCCTATGGAAGTCCATTTGTAGAACAAACCTTTTCTGTACTTTAAAAAATAAATTGAAACAAACTGTTAAATAGCATGTTGTTTTGATGTTTGATACATTTTATCTATGGAAAGGTAGGTTTATTTTTCCACTGTAAATTCTATTATGTGGAGACTTGCATCTTTCTAAGACTTTACTGTTTATGTTGTCTCTTAGTATTACAGTGTAAGAAATCTAATCTTACAGGATTGGAGCCTATTTTCTCAAATTTCACAGAATGTTACTTTCAAGTAGTGCTTTTAGACAACAGAAGAATATTACATGGCAGATTTTTTTAAAAATTCAAGTTCTGAAGCAAGAATTGTGTATGTCCTAATGGAAATACTAGGATAATACACTAGGATATATTCACAACTGGAAGCATGTCACAAATGTCCTGTGGTGTCTTGTAGAAAATTTAAGATTTCCACCCATTCCCAGGGAGTGGTGGTTTCTCCTTTCATGGCAGTCAATGGCACTATAAACGGCATGAGGAGAGAGAGCACGTACAAAGTTCGAGGCTAAATGACACAATAAAGGTAGCAGTTTGCATGCACCTACCATCCTTATTTCCTTTCTTCTGTCTCCCAGAACTATGTACTGTGATGAAACTGCAGATGAGTGCTCTGGAATTAATGTCCATCAGCCCACGGCTTTTGCTCACAAGTTACTGCAGCTCTCAGGTGTCTCTTTCTTCTGGGATGAGTTTCCTGCATCAGCAAAGTCCTCCCCAGTGTGTTCAGCTACACAACTGGTAAAATTAAATAACATTCTTATAAAATGTAAATAGGTGAGGGATAGAATATATTGTTACACTAATATATTAGTTTAGTCGTGAGGGATATAAGTGTTGAACTTTTACATGAATCTGTGTTTGATAAGTTTCATAATCACTTGCTGTGATTTTGAGGAGGGGGAAGGAAACGGAGACTTTAGGACTGAGTGAAATTTAGGATGTATTGTACTGGAATCTGGTCACAGCTCTAATGTGTACAAGTCCTCTACAGTTCACTGTTCTGTGCAAACTTGCCCCACTTTTTTGCAAAGGCCTAATGTTTCACGTTTTACATGCCTTGTTTCTTTCACTTTTATCAATACCTGTTTTTAAGGCCATTGTGAAATACGTACCTGTGTAATAAGCTTACTTGAAATACTGGTTTATATATATATATTTTTTTTTTTTTTTTTGGTAAGAAATGGGATATATTCTTACTCCTTTCTCTGTAATGTTTTAAGGCAACTGAACCAAAGCTTTCACCTAGCTGGAATCCAAAAATCATTTATGAGCCACATCCACAATTAACAAGAAACTTGCCAGAAATTACTCCTTCTGACCCTGTTCAGATCAGTAAGCTGATTGGTAGAATGGAGTTGAGCCTAACATTAAAGCAAAACGAAGTACTTCCTGGAGCTAAGGTTAGTCATGCTTTCCTGGTCTTTAACTAAAGTAATAGTTATGTAGGATTTTGGTTTTTTCTACGTAGAAAAAAAATTGTGAGTTTCTCAAGGGAACAGAATCTCCTTAGTTTTGTTGTAGATTCTCTGCATTCAAAACCAACATATATGTCCAAAAAGACATATTTATAATGGCCAGACAAGTCAATGGCACACTGAAATCTCTTCAAGGAGAATTCCTGTATGTTTGACAGACTGAATTTATATGTTGGGGTAACTCCTGAGAAAGTTGGTTCGTCTTCATGAAACTCCTGCTGCTATTCATTTATCCTTTTTTCTTGTCACTCTGACTTTGCCTACATATATGTGGGACGTTTAACTGGTTGATCAAAACCACTTTGGTTTTAAAAGGGTATAATTTATTTCAACAATTACAACTAAACTTTAAATAGTTCATTAGGTTGCAATATTGCAGCATTATAAGACTAACATGAACATTTCTACTTCTGTATTTTTATATTAAAATCTATAGTAAATCAAGTAATAATGTCATATTTAAATGCTACTAAAGTAATATTTCATTTGACTTTTACATAAAGGATACAGGAAGCAAAAAAGCCCTTTTTTTTTTTTTTTTTAAGTGTAAGTGTATAAGTAAAGTTCTGTAAATATATTCCCCTTGTCTCCAGTTTTAAAATTGGCTATTGACCTGTCTTGTATAGTGCACTGCACGCTACAGAAAGCATGAAGTTTCTACTAGAGTAGAAAAGTTTCTCATGTCCAGCAGTTTCTAGTCAATCTAACTTTGTTTATTCAGCTAAGAGTCCTTGAAAAGTGAAATAACATATTTTGTTTGCTATGAAATAGAAAAATGCTGGCTATTTCAAAAATATGAATAGTTAATGCAGTTAACACCTATAAATAGACTGATGTCCAGATGTTTCTAAAGGTCAAAAATTTTCTATTTGTATATCATTAGATGTGTTGTAAGGTAGCCAGAAGAATGTCAAGGACAGGGTTGAGAGTAATTTTTGTTCTGTAGGAGATGTTCAGTATAATAGAATGCAGAGCAGCGGTCTCTGCAAGCCCATCTTGCATACAGGCAAAACACTGTTGGTATGTTAAAGAACAGCAACATCTGAACTAGGGAATGGATGTAATATTCTATGACAGAATTAAACAAGGATTTGTTTTTTGATTTAATAGGCAGAATTCATGCAGATTGGAAAGAACATAGATAAAATCTATTGCTCAGTCTAGGTTAAGTTTGTTTGTTTGTTTTTAACTTCAGAAACTGAATTATGTTAGACCATCTTTGATTAGAATATATATTTCAAGCCTGTAAACTACAAAATATACTGTGAGTTCATGTCAAGTATGAGACACTTCAATAATTTGATTTTCTTTGAACTCTTACCAAAGGATGGAAAAAATAGTAGGAAACAGTATACAAAACTAACTGATCATTTGTTTTCCCTGCCTAGGTAAATAGTCCCTTAAGGTCTTTATGAGCAAAAATACACTTTCATATAAATGCATTCCACTGCATACTTCTTTTTTTCCTTTTTTTTTTTTTTTTTTTCCTTTTCTTTCCCCCTGGGTGTGGTGGGTTGACCTCGGCTGGCTGCCATACACCCATCCAGCAGCTTTTGCACTCCTCAACAGGACAGGGGGAGAGGGAGTGTGGTTAGAAGAACTCACAGATTGAGATAAAGACAAGGAGACCGCTTAGCAGTTACTGTCACGGTCACAACAGACTCAACCTGGGGAAAATTAATTGAATTTATTGCCAATTAGAATGGAGTTGGATGATGAGAAACAAACTGAAACACCTTCCCCTCACCCATTTTTCTTCCCAGGCTCAGCTTCACTTCATCATTCCCAACTCTTCCACCTCCTCACCACACTGAGCAGTGCAGGGGGGTGGGGAGTTGGGGGGCTGCAGCCAGCTCATTGCAGTTCCTCTCTGCTTCTCCTTTCTCCTCGGGCTTTCCCCTACGAAACAAAGCAACTAACAGGTTAATGGTATTCTTGAATTTTCCTACTAGGTAATTATATTGTATTTTAAGCTAGTGAGTTGTCAGTGACACACCTGCATCTATCCTGCCAAGTTACAGATTGGAAGCAATACACAGATTTCTAGCTGCTCTTGTGTAGAAGATGAAGGTGCTGCTGGAATGGCAGTATCCTTTACAGCATCACAATCCATAATCAATATAGTTGATTCAAGACTTTTAAAGGAAAATTCCTTAAGCGTTCTTACTTTTTTTTTTTTTTTTTTCTCCAGTTGGATGTAGATGGACAAATAGACTCTGTACATCTGTTTCTGTCACCAAGGCAGGTGCATCTTCTGTTGGACATGGTAGCAGCTATTGCTGGACCAGGCAAGTGAACATTCTGTAAATGTTAAATATGTATTGCACTGGATGAAAAATAAACTTTGCAAGATAAACAGGTTTCCTCAGTGGGAAAAAAAAAAAAAAGTTTGTGGTGGTAGATTATTATTAATTTCTATCTGATAGTAGCAAAATCTTTTGTAGGTGCTCTGAGTAGGACTATAATGAGTTTACTGACTTAAGTTGCAATTTGTACATGCTGGTAATGAAAATCTAGGTAACAGCTAAGGTTTGACAAGTGACTATATAGTAGGAAAAGAGATGGGGAGGTGGTCAGTGGGGAATATCAGGAGGCCGGAATGATTTTAGTTGTTGTAGCTTCTCTTTCACGAGAGGGTCTTAGCGGTCTGGTACCTCCTCTGTCCTGTGCTTTAGTGGCAGGCACAGGAAACACAGAACAGACAGTAGCTGGGTTCATTTGTCCGTATTTGCTAAGTAATTAACAGCATTTTTTTGACTGCTGCAGTAGCAGGATGAGGGTGATTTAGTTTGCTCTCCCCCCGCCCCCATCTACCTCATGTAACAACACTTCTTATTAGGACAGGTAGTTAATCTTCTTGTTGAAAAGATTTGTCATTTCCTGGGTAGTACCTAATATTCTTCTAATGATACTGATACATTTGTTTTACTGATCTTGGTCACTGTTTTTTGGATAACTAGAAAAGCATTACATACAGTTACCCACATATGTCATCTTCAAATCTGAAATTTTAATTTCTTAGTAGTAAGACATTTTAAGAGATTGTGTCCCTAGTCCTTAAAGTTGACTGAGAAGAGAAATACATGCTGATATTATATGTGAACACGTTTGCATGTAAGACCTTAAAATATTTTCTTCAGACTTTAAATTAATGAATGCTAGGGAGAGAGTAGTCTGTTTTGGACAAGTAAGATCTTTAAAACAACAAACTGTTATTATGTATATACACATCTGATATACAGCAAAGATGCATATATACACAGCAACAACAGTAGGTTAACTTTCAGGTTAATTTTTTAATTTTTTTGGGCATGCTGGTACAGAAATTACAGTGGGCTTTCTGTCCTTTTTTTTTGAATTCAGAGAGCCTAAGCAGGATAGAATTGTCAACTAAAGATAGGAAAAACCGGCCAATGCAACAGGAAGATGAGTATCGGATTCAGATGGAATTGAAACGTTATTTAAGAAAAGAGTCTTTATCTGCGGGAGCGTCATCCGAGCAGAGCTTCTATGAGACAGAGAGTGCCAGAACGCCTTCTAGTCGTGGCAAGTATAAAAGATGATGCAGCATAACAAATAACCTGTTGTTAGAATTATCTAAATTGACTGTTCATCTTTTAATTTTACTAATTAATTGATTACCTGATTTCTATTTTTATTTGAATAATTTTTGATGATGATTTTTAATGTGGAAATACGAGCTTTGGTTTGTCAAAAGGAGAGTGTATGCATTTGTAGAAGTTATGCCAGCTTGAATATGAAAATGGAAAATTTAACTGTCCTAGTATTTAGGGTTTCTGACTGTTTGTTCCTTAAGTAATCTCTGTGCATAGCTACTACTAGCCTCAGTGTCAAGAGAACTTGGAACGTCTGTAAATAATATATTTAGCTGATTGTAATTGTCTAGCAGGTAGATTTCTGAACTTATGCATACATTGCTGTTAAAAGTAAAGTTTTGGAGTTTTTTTCATTAGAAACTAACTCTTTACTGTCTATGATTCTTATTAGAAGAAGAAGTTTTCTTCTCAATGGCTGAAATGGACATGTCTCACAGCCTTTCCTCCCTTCCACCTCTTGGAGACCCTCCAACCATGGATCTAGACTTGTCTTTATCTAGCACATACACAACTACACCAGCAGGATCTCCACTGAGCACTACAGTGGTATAGTATTAACTACATTTAAAATCTTTTTGAAATTAACAGTTTTGTTTGAAGCTGTTCCATAAATATTCTTAACAATATCAAGAACTGTTGCAAAATTCTAGGACAAGTGAAAATGTTTAGAGCTGATAGTATTCCTTTTCTGCTATGGAAATTGTATTGGGAAGTGTCTCATCTGTTTGACTACCCAGGCAAGAATTGGAATGTATTTGTTTTCAAATGCCTTGAAGCTTATATAGGATGCTTTATGTTTTATTTTCTTTTTAATAACCGCATGTTTGCCATCTGTTTTTTCTTTTAATACGGACTACACAGGCAATGACAATAAAAAGTACAAAATCATTGTATTGCATTATTCCTCAAACAACGTAAAACTTGTGCTGTTGATATTGCCGTTTTTCCCAAATCTGTTACGTGCCTAATACTTTGTGTAACAAAAGCCGTGGAGAACAGCTGTGCTTTTTACAGAGAAACAGAAGAATATGGAGAGAGCAACTTTAGCTTTAAAAATATGTGGGTGTAGACGAACATAGAATTAGAAAGTGTAACCCGAAGTAAAGCATAGCTACATTCTTTAGTGGAGCGCTATTATGCTATATAATGGCATGTTGTTGATTGTTTATGCATGTATTTTGGTTTTGTTCCTTTACCTTAATATTTATGTTTGATCTAATATCTGACATCTATTTATCAAATTGAAGATCATGTATATTTTTGTTTTAGCTTCAACCAACTTGGGGTGATTTTCTTGATCGTAACAAACAAGAGCTGCAACCTCCAAGAGGTTCTTCACTTGCAGCCAACATGGTTCACCAGACTTCCTTAAGAAGGACATGTAAGTAAAAATGTTTTGCATTCTGGTCCCTGGCTGTGTCTGGAAATGAGTTGTTACGCAACAACTTGATAAAAAGAAATGAAAATCGAAAGTAAGATGATTTTATAAATGTGTTATTGCTGAAAAATTATGTGAACTTAATTTTGTATTTCAGCTATTCCATCCAGATCTGTTTCTGTGGATGAATCCAGACCTGAGCTTCTTTTTAGACTGGCAGTTGGAACTTTCTCAGTGTCTGTACTTCATATTGACCCTTTACCCCCACCTGAAAGTTCTCTGAACCTTAACCCATTGACACCAATGGCTCGGGATTTCTTTACCCGAATAGAAAAGATTGAGCCAGTTAAGTTTTCAACAGAAGATTTTCTGTCCTTCCGAGAAGTATTTGCAGAAGCTTGTTCTCATGATCACCTTAGGTATAACTTTGTTTATTAATAAATATAATTATCAAAAATATCTTTTAAGTCAATTTGAGTAAAGTAAGTTTGTTTCCATAGGAATTGTGTCAATACTTGCATTTCATTAGATTTCTTTGATAATTTCAAAATAGCCTTGAATTTTGACATCTGTTGTCCAAGACTGGGGTTCTTTGTAATAAAAAAAGAGAAGTGCCTAAGCATTAAAATCAACCTAGCTCTTTTCAACAATAAAGGAATTAAACTAGGTACAGTTTCTACCACAGAAACCTAGAAGGTTGGGTAACACTAAGTAAATTTATTTCCTTAGAAATAGCTGTATTTTACAGGACCATCATTATCCCTATATAGGGATTTCTGCTTGAATGATCTTAGGTTTACTTACTTTTATCCCTGCTGATATGCTATTTTGCAGTAAGTGTGAGCAAAATTGTAAAGTTAGTCAACAGTCTTTTTTCCCAGGTGGTTTTACCATCCCAGTACAGTGTATGAAGTAAAATATTTAATGGTTTATGTATTTTCTTACCTTATACATGCAATTTAGACTTCCCGAGTCATTTGACTTTTGCACTGTCTGTGTAAGGAGGTTAGATTCCCAGCTTTCTGTGAATTGTGTCTTAAGTTAGATGTCTGAAGTGTTTGTTACAAATTTCTCTACACTGACCATTGCTGGATGTGTTACTTGTGAGCTCCACTGTCTTTGTTGCTAAGGCTATATATAATCTGTTATAATTAGAATTTTTCCTTATTTTTTAAGAAATCGTGGTGGGTTTAATGATTTTTGAAAGAACTGTAGTGATTCTTTTTTACATATTTAAGTCTTGACTTTTCATAATTTTTATTGTTCTGCTTTTCATAATTCATAATTTTCATAATTCAGATTTATAGGTACTGGCATCAAAGTGTCTTACGAACAAAGACAACGGACAGCCTCTCGAAGTTTTAGTACTGATTTATCCATTGGGGATATGGAGTTCCTGGAATGCCTTTTTTCTACTGACTCTCATTCCATTCAGCCTCACTATACAGAAGTACGTAAAAAATACAGGGAGTTCTGTAGAAAAGAAATGTTAATTGTATATCTGAGAATGCAAGATTTTTAAATGGTTATAATTTTTTTTGTTTGTTTGTTTGTAATATATTATGGTTTTAAGAGGCAACTTTTATTTTACTGGCAAGCTCAAATAGTGAACCAGACTGTTCTCATACCTGACAGGAATAGTGTTAAGTAGCCAAACTTCACTAGTTTACTTGGCTTTTTTTAAATGTGCTTAACACAGTTTGGGAATTAGAGTAAATGTTTTCCAAAAACTAACTGATGGAGTTGAGCAATGGGAAGGTTTGTTTGGGTGATGATTATTCTTCCAGCTCTTCTCATGGTCAGAGACATCAAATAAAGTGGCTGAATAAGTGGATTGAGTAAGCTGGGCTGGAGATCTCTGTTGAATGTAGGTTTACCAACTGTCTGTTCTAGCTAATATGTCATAAATATCTTTCCCTCTGGCAACTCTTTCCTCCTTATCTATTGAGTATTTTTAACTCTCTTTTATTCTAAAGCTGCTGACATTTCATTCTGAAGAAGGAAATGAATCTCATGCTATGCCATGCCTTCAGCTTCATTATAAACATTCAGATAACAGAGGACCTCAGGTAAGGTGGGAGATTAAAAACACCAGGTGTCTGTATAATAGCCTTTGTCTAGTTTTGTTCCTTTTTAACAGAAAGGCATCTTTCTTGTGAAACAGGGTCCTTAACTCTCAGTTATTATAATTTGTTTCACTCTATTGTTTTTAAGGATTTTAGTGCTTTTTCTCTTTCTTTTCAGGGTAGTCAAGGGAGACTCAGTTCTGTTCCACAGAAAGCAGAGTTACAAATAAAGCTAAGTCCAGTGTTTTGTGAGCTGGATATTAGTATTGTAGACAGATTAAATTCCTTACTTCAACCACAGAAACTAACTACAGTGGAGATGATGGCATCTCACATGTATGCGTCTTACAACAAGCACATAAGTCTGGTAAGTTAAAAGTGAAATTGATTAATAAACTTGCTGATTTTTTTCAGGAGGAAGGCAGGAATGCACTTAGCCTGAGATTGCGAATTCTGACTGATACGTGGTGGTTGGGTGTTTTTGGTTTTGATTTGTGGGTGTGGGGGTGTATGTGTGGGGTTTGGTTTGTTTTGTTGGCATTTTATTTCTGATACAGAACAGCAGCTGTCTGACATAGGTGCTTATTTTAGATTCAGTGATTGCATGCTTGAGAACAGACCTAAAGACCATGGTAGCAGCTTCAACAACCTGTGTAAGCTCTCAGCTTCTTGAAGCAAGCAGAACTGGGCAAAAGAGAGGAATCTTGACTGACTTCAATCCCTTATCTGTCCCGTCACGCTCTTCAGCAGCTGATATAAACTGTTGCTGACAATTTCACTTCTGTATTGAAATCCTTAGGTGTCACAGTCAGCCCAGTTGCCTCTGCTGTGCCTTACCTGCCTTTGGGGGGAGGTAACAGAAAGGATGGGGAACATAGGCATCGTGTTCTAGTGATCGAGGACCAGCAGGAAAAGTTGGAGCTTGTTTGTCTTGGTTCAGGTTGTCAGCAGGATTTAAGTGTTAGTATTTTTAGCACAGCAACATTCAACTTGAAGGCTTTTCTTGAAATGCACAAGGAAAGATTCATGCAATTAACCGATTTTTCTACACAGCAACTATTGTCTTCATGTAACTTCATTGCAGTTTTGATTGATTGCAGAAGAAATTGCCATCAAAAGTGATTTAAGAGAATCCTCATTTCAAAAATCTATAAGACATCAGTAACTTCTATCAATATGGTTATGACCTGGAAGTTTGGTTCTTTTCAGTGATGGCCAGCAATAAACTATGCTCAGGGAGGTTTTGAATGGCACGTCAGTGACAGGAGCTGGAGGTCATGACTTACTGAAAGGGGCCGATATGTATGATAGTAGTTCCTGGCTTTTCAGCAGTATCATTTTTTTTAAATCTGAGACATGATATTTCCTGAGTGCAGCTGAATACTCTTTGGGACTCTTACTCTCTAATTTAAGAGAAGGAAGTAGAGAGTGCGCCATTTTTGAAAGATTGGGAACCTCTGCGAATACTTGACTTATATTCTAACAAAGTAGAATCTTAAAAGCACCAATAATAGAAGAAAATCCAAAGAGTAATAACAATTGGTCCTAATATATGTGTTTTGTGTGATACATGAAAAAATAATCTTTTTAATTTGTAGATATTACATCACCAAAAGCTTTATCCATAGTAATTTCTAGTGCTATTTTCTCTAATTTTTTTTTTTTTCCCCTTCATTTTTTAGCATAAAGCATTTACTGAAGTTTTTCTGGATGATTCACATACTCCTGCAAACTGTAGAGTTTCAGTTCAAGTCACTGCCCCAGCATTAAATCTCTCTGTTCGCTTCCCAATACCTGACCTGCGGTCAGATCAGGAGCGAGGACCATGGTTTAAGAAATCACTTCAGAAGGAGATTCTTCATCTTGAATTTACAGATCTGGAGTTTAAAACGGAGTTTGTAGGAGGGTCGACTCCAGAACAAGTTAAATTGGAACTTACTTTTAAAGAGCTAACTGGTAAGAACGTTAACATTATATTCAAATACTCTTTTTTATTTCCCCAGATGTTATGTACATATGACAAAGATCCTCTCATAAGGATCAACACAGTGAGTGTCTCTCCACCCGAATTTTGGAGCAGATACCTCTGCTGCAGTTTAGGTTCTGTACTAAGTGTCAGCATAAGTCAAAATAATACCAGTGGGAGAGGTTAATGGATGTAGCTGTAGTGCTTTTGTTTTTGTTTTTGAGATCTGAGCTAGTATTTCTGTTACTTTCTGTTACATAGTTACACCAGCTTGTTTCAGTTTGGGGTATCTTTGGGATCTTGGTGTTAGGGCAAGTCCTGTGGAGTTGTAGAGGGATACTACAGCTATGCCAATTAGGAATCTCAACTATAGTCTGGAAGTAAAGTGAATGATGTCCTAAATAACTGTCGCTGAGAAAACTTTAATACTTTTATGCCTCTAATATCTTTCAAAGTAGTAAATCTGCGAGACGGGTTTATATTTTCAGCCTCCTCTGCGGATTTGTCATTCTGCGTACTTTTCAAGGTTGTGACATAATGCAGTGATGCTATAAATGTAAATGCAGATATCTGTGCATTGGAAGTATCTCGTTTTCTAACTGCTGGTAGCTAGAAGATAATGTGAAATTCTTTCTGTTTCTAAAAAATTGTATTGAATTTTTGGCCGAAAAAGATGACAGAGTTTGCGCAAGTACATTAGGAATAGCATTTATAAATTAGCCTGTTGGACTCCAGCATGTGGAGTGGGCAACCTGAAGTTTGCAGTTGTCATTTCTGTGTTAATTTTTTAAAAATATTTTTCTACTCAGGTTCATTTGAAGAAGATAATGCGGAAGCACCAATCAAATTTTTTCAAGTGTCTGGTGGCATAGATGGAGATATAACGTCATCGTCAGACAATTTTGACTGGCCTCGGTAAAATAATGTTTTATTTTTTAATGCGGGTTGTTTGGATTTTTAGGAAGCACTATTATTTTTTCTAATTTTAATGCAGACTGCCTGTGTGGTAAATACTTTAAATTAATTTGCAAAGAAAGAACATGTGGATATTGAAGAGAGCCCAAGAATTTATAAAAAACCTCAACAAAACCAAACTTCTACATTTATAATAATACAGGATGCTTTTAATGTATAATGTTTTTTGTGTAGACTTGAGTAAATTTCAGTGCACCTTAGGTGAATGATTAGAGACCTGAAACTTTCTCCCCTTTTTTTTTGTCACTTTACCTTTTCTCCTACTTCTACATTCAAGATTGAATACCAAACCAAAAAAAAAAAATCTCAGTTGAATTTTGTCTCAAAATATTAATGCGAGCTGGTATAAAGCTGTAACAACAATAAGGGTAATGATTTTATGACTGAATTATTGCAGCTTATCTGACATGTAAGGCAATACTTCAGAGTTACTGAACAGAAGGACCTAACAGCTGTAGCTTGTAATAAGATGTTTAAAGAGGCAATTTTTGATTTCTGCAGGATTTGCCGCATACATTTTTTTGCCACAAAATTTAGTGGCTTTCTGACAGCAAGTTTGTATGGACATTTTTTCAGTGTGGTTTTCTTTTATAATGGTACAGATTTTTTTTATAACTGTGTGTACATGTAATATACAAAGTCTTGTAGCAGAGCATTTTTCCATAGCTGTTGGTGGTCTAATGATAAAAGCATTATTTGTTTTGGGAGAGCACTAGGCGTTTCGTAGGTCACCTGATGGAGGTGAAAAAGGCAGACGCTAACTTTTTTGCCTGATGGTTCTTTTTCCATGTTCCTTTGTGCCTATAATTTTGGTGATTTTTCTTAATGGTACCGCTTTGTATAATAAAATACATTATTGTCTAATATAAAAAAAATCCCTGGTCTGAGCTATTTAGTCTACGCGTATTTAGTGGCTAGCTAGTAGAGCTAGGGGACGTGTGACTGTGCGTCAGTATAAAAATTCCAAGCATGTCTAATGGCTTATTCTGCATAACTTCTCCAATGTCAGGATTGTATTGAAAATAAACCCTCTGGCTGTGCACTCTATTCTGGAAAGGATAGCAGCTGAGGAGGAAGAAGGTGATAATAATTTTCAAGAGGAAGAAGAAGGAGGGTCTCATTCTTTGAAGGATGTCTGTGATATTAGAAGACCAGAGCCTTCTCCTTTTTCTTCTCGTAGGGTCATGTTTGAAAATGAAGAGGTACTATAAAATTTTGTTACTGCTTTGTGCTTATGGTATATAAAATAATATATTCTCACTACTTTATATTCATCTTCTGGCTTCCAGTTTTGGTTTGTTTGTGTGTTTCTTTTTTTTTTTTTTTTTTTTTTTTTTTTACTTGAGAGGTTTTTTCTTTTTTTCTTTCAGATGGTGATGCCAGGAGATGTAGTTGAAATGACTGAGTTTCAGGATAAAACAATTAGCAATTCTCATTATGTACTGGAACTCATGTTACCTAACATTCACTTAACATTGCCAAACAAAAGCTTTTATGAAAAACTTTACAACAGGCAAGTATGATAATTGTTTTGCTTGGTTATTGTGACCTGTACTTTTAGTTCTGTGTTCGTTGTTGATAGAAGCAATTGAATGAGCAGCTGTAGCAGGAATTAATTTGTATAGTCTTCTAAAAAACATAAAATGCTATACAAATATTCTTCCAAGTTAACATCAGAGATGCTGCCAATGTCATATATCTGATCGGTGCCATAGCAGCCAGCTGCTAGAAAGTGCTTGGCAGATTTTGTGAACAAAGTGTAAAGTTAAACAGTCTCTTGCTTTCAGTGAATATTTTGTTCAAATCTCTGTTCTCAGCGTTTCATTTTGCTCTAATCTTTCTGAATTCTCCTTTGTAAATAGATCACTGTACCTCAAAAACTGTTGCATTCAATGTTATTCTTCCCTTTTTATGAATTGCTTCTCCATTTACAAATTAAAAGCCCACAAGGCAGGCAGGGGGGAAAAAACCCTAATTACCCAGTTTTGTAAGCCTTACGGACTTACAGAAACAGAAAATGAACCCAACTTAGGTGTTCAGCATCTATTTCTGTTAGTTTTCTGCCTGAAAAAGAAATACAACTAGATTAAGTCAATTAAAAAATAGATGTTATGCTACGCATTAGCTACATAGGGAGATGCTGATCTATTTTAGCCTTTGATAGGCATTACTTACAAAGCATTTTCTCACTTCCAAAGTGGCGAAGCTGAACCTTTCACTGACTAGTCTGTTGGTGTATTTCTGTATGAATGTCACCTGTATCTTTACCCCGACAGACATAGACTCACTTGAAATCAAAAGAACTAATGTTTCCTGCAACTTTGCTGGAAATTTGATGTGATCAAAGCAGGGTTTTGTCACCCCCGCTCCAACTTACTGAGTTAATATGCAACTACTAATAGAGGCTTTTGTGTCACTGTAAAGTTTTAGACTTTGATATGTGCGTACAGTAATTACAGGAAAAAAAGTTATTTATTGCTTTTACTCATGAATACATTATTCTTTCTTATGCTCTTAGACTTTTTCCTTGTTTATGAAATCTGAAATCTGTTATGAAGTCTGCAAAGGAAGTATTGCTTGACTGACCATATATTAAGTGGGATTATAGTCCTATGTTTTTGTATAATGATAATGTATTTCTTCCTAGGATCAGCAATGACTTGTTGTTGTGGGAACCCACAGCTCCATCTCCCGTAGAAACATTTGAAAATCTTTCCTATGGTGTTGGACTATCTGTGGCCAGTCAGCTCATCAACACTTTCAGTAAAGACAGCTTTAGTCAATTTAAATCTGCAGTTCATTATGGTAATGCACTTAGTAAATCATCTAGAACCGTAGTGATTCAAAAGCATATTTGTCTGAAATGATTAAGCTGATAGTGGAAAGAACTTGTAAACTTACAAGAATGGATTTGTTTAAACCAAGAAGAAAAAACATAGATTACTGTTTAAATAAGTAAAAGAAGTGTGAAATTGAATTGCATTACTGATGGAAAAACAATGAGTTACTGGCATAGCGTATGTACTAGCTAGAGAGTTAATTATTTTTCATTTTATCTCTTAGATGACGAGAGTGGGTCTGAGGAAGAAACACTACAGTATTATTCTACTGTTGATCCAAACTATCGTTCACGCAGAAGGAAAAAACTTGACTCTCAGAATAAGAACTCACAAAGTTTTCTGTCTGTTCTGCTAAATGTGACACATGGCTTAGTGTCAGTATTCACAGATGTCAAGGTGAGACACTGGGGCTGGAAAAGGTTGTTCTTTTGTTTTGACTGTGGGATCCCCTTCATGCTGTATGTACTGGTTTTGGAAGGAACAAGCATTTACAACTAATCTTTGTACTAGTGTTGTGTTACTGTCTAGTTACAGCACAAAACTTCAGCAATTCTGTTTGCTTTACATGAGAATAACTAAATGCAACCAGGAAAATACGTATTGGTAGCAAGTGTCATGTTAGTTTAGGCAGCCTTACTGCAGAAAACTCAGCAAGCAGTCATTTTATCATTTCTATTCTTCCTTCAGCAGGATGATGGAAATATACTGGAAGGAAAATACGGCGAATTCTGGTTTGAGTTCAACACTGGTTCACTCTTCAGCGTGACTAAATATGAAGGCTTTGAGGACAGACACTATGTGTGTCTCCATTCTAGCAGCCTCAATTTATATCATCAAGGTAGGGTTGGGATTGAGGTGGCTTTGGGACTAAATTTCAAATGAGATAAGCTTGAAGTTTTTTAGGAGAAGTGCTGTCTTTCCTGCCCTTTCCACCTGGCCCCCCCCATAATGTATCATTTGGCACAGCACGTTTCGTTCATGGCTAATGCTCCTAAATTCTACAGTAATACAACTTCACGGTAACTGTATTTACTTAGTTATAGTTTAGCTCAAACTGTCATTGGCAACTGCTGGTCTCTAAAGATATTCTAGTCCTCTGGCAAATTAGCTGTACAGTCTGTTCTTTATTATGAAAGTACACACTTCCTACATGTTACTGGTTATTTAAGAAGGTACAAGTTACCAGTGGCTGCTGTATCTTTCCTGGGTAGATAATTGTCGTCAGCAGGTGAACAGTTTTGACGTTGTAGTTTTTATGGCTGGTAACCCCTGTGGAGTTTAGCTGTTTAAGGTTTTCCCCTCAAATGTCTCTGAGCCCTGACTTGGTAGTCAAGTTAATGGGTTTTCAGTGAAAGGCTTAACTATTGTGTGTTTGGAGGTTAACCTGGCACCATCTCATAAAATGGAGAGACATATTCCTGTCTCTCCATGTAACCCATCGGAGATTTCTGTCCTTTATTTCAACTTGGCCGTTTTGCTGGACAAGTAAAAACCCAAACCCTATAGTCACATTGAAGGTTTGAGCTAGAACCATGGTTTTAAATATTGGATCGCCTGTAACCTCCCCTTCACAATTTTTGATTGTCTGTGTGCATGACTAATTTCAGTAATTAAAATGAGTTTAAAGGCATTAAGCATAAAAAGGATTTTCCTTAACTCTTCATCAGTAACAGCTTTGAAGCATGAGGTAACTCATTCTAAAATCTCTTTGCAGGTATGGTAGATGGGGTTGTCCCTTTCTCTGAAGTACGACTGCCCAGCACAATACGTCCTCATTGGTTAGAACCTACTATTTGTTTTTCTGAAGAAGATGGTCTTAGCAGGACCACTTCAGATGGTGTAGGAGTGGATTCTCCAAGTATGCTGACCGTTGCAGTCAAAATCCAATCAGATAAAATAGAGAGCAATACAAAGGTTTGTGGTTTTTAAATTTGTGCTTTTATAAATAATTTGAATTACCCCAGTTTATATCGAAGCACCTAGGTGGGTTACGAGCATTATAGATGAAGAAACCATGTAATTCTGAGCCATTTATCTTCAAACTATAATTTTCTGTTAGAATCTTTTGGGTGGCTTGTAAAATTTAAGTATCAGCATAATTTACTAATTCCTCCAGTGCTTTGCTTTGCTGCTCACACTGTATTTCTTTACTGAATGCATTTCTTGGCCAGTTGACCTTTTCCTTGGTTTTCTTCGGTTGAGTTTTAATCTGGTGCCAAACCAGGCCAGAACAAATAGAAAGGGTTAAAAGCTTTCTGCTCAGCTTACTAGCAGCGTCATCTGATAGGCAGCCTTTGCTTACCTACTTGGAGTGGCACTGGTAAATGAGTGCTGTGTTTGGCTTTGATGGTAGCATTCATTAGCATGGCTAAGAGATGACCTAGAAGCTGGCCTACTGGCGACAAACAGGTTGATAGAGTTACCTAGAGAAGAAGGAATCTGCAGACCAGCACAGTGTTACGGGGGCTCGGTTGTCTCCGATCTGAACAGCATAAGCAAGAACTTCATTAGGTTGGTACTCTCGGTAATTCCTGGTGAATCCCGGGATAAGCAGGTAGCCTTCCCTCCTGTCACCACCACAAAACCGTAATTTCTAAACTATCCTGTTACAGAAAGTATTAGATTGTATTAGCCAGGGTTTCTGTGTTAGGAAGCAAGGTTTTTGGACTGTTTAATCCTGGCCCAGTCCTTCCTTCATTTCTAGGCACTTGGAGAATCGGGGAGCAAAAGGCTGACTGTGTTTCATAATCTAGATGTGAGATAATTCCATATGTTTCACGTAAACTGACTCGTGCAACTTCCTTATGCAGGAATTTCTAGTTGCTGTTGGACTGAGAGGAGCCACCCTTCAGCACAGAGTACTGCCTTCAGGTTTAAGCTGGCATGAACAGGTCAGTTTGCTACAGTTTTCCCAACTACGTCTTCAATTTCAGTCTCATTGCTTTAACAACTACTTTAAGAATCAAACTAAACCCCTATAGAAAATCTTTGTGTTAGATGGTGTCTTATTATCTTATTCTGCTCTTGAAAGTGTTACTCTTTTCTTGCTTTCTTGTCTCTTTGGGAGTGTTGACAGACTAGCCTTGCTCCTAAGTTCTTACTCCTGTATTCATTTGCTACAGTTTCTCTCATCACCCTAAATCTCTGCCCACAACATGTCAAGGAGGTTCTTAGGGTTCTCTTTTTTTTTTCTGTTGTGGTTTTTTTTGTTTGTTTGTTTTGTTGATTTTTTTTTTTTTTTTTTTTTTTTTTTTTAAAGTTCAGGTGGAAAATCTCAGTAGTCCAACACTACCCAAGTACGTGGAATTCTCCAAGTACTTGACATAAAAACCACCCTCAAAACAAGCAAATGTGCCATTTGCAGCACTGAAAGCATTTCTGTATTTTCCCCTTCTGCTTACTTTATCCCTCAAGACTGTTTCTCCCTTGTCTGTTTCCTGTTTTACATCGTTTGAGTAGCGGTAATGGAGGAGGCTTTGGGGAAGTAGTAAGCAGCAGTTTATATAAACGCCTGTAATTCAAACTTCTGGATGAGAAGGGTTGCACTCTAAGTGTGGATGCAGAGGTACAGCGTAGCAGACGGGGCTAGAGACCCTTGATCTGGAAGCTGTGTGTAGACATCCACGAGCCAGGACATGCCACTATCACAGGAGCAGTATAGTTGCCTGTACTTACACCATACTGGATTACAGATAGTAAGCCCTGACATTGAAGCTTATCCTCTTTATCCTCCAGTTTGGATGGTGTGCTTATTTTGACATGCGTTTTTATTGTGTAACTGCATGGAGCTGAACTTAGCGCTTTTGGATTCTGCCCTGTCATTACTTTCTTTTCAGCATGGTGTTCCCACGTGTCTGTATAGACCTGCTTTACACAGTGTTGCTTATTTGCTCTGTGAGTTTTTGCTCAGTTAACATTGCCTGTAATGCACTTGGGAATCTTTTTTGGAGGGGGAAGGGCAAAACAAAAAATTGGCCAAAGAGGAAACAGTTAAAAGGCTAGTAGTGTTGATATGCCCCAGACAGTTAGGGCATACAGGGAATAATTTTAAAACAACTTTCATAGTGTAATGGATTTGAGGGAGAACTATGACAGATCTTAGAGGGGGGTAGGAGTTTATTTTATGCAGTAATGCATGAAAAAGTGCTATATACAGTGGATGTGCACGTATTTCTGGTGCTGAGCATATTTCCCACCCTCCACCGCCCACAAAGAAAAAGAAAAATAAATTGAAGATAACTTGAACAGTGTGCAGTATTACAAGTTGGCTTTTCAGGTAATGAGAGCAAAGAAAATACTAACACTGTAATAACTACTGCAAAGAAAGATGAATGAGACTGTATTTGTGAGAGGCTTTAAAAATTGCCTGGGAGATGTACAAGGAGCCACTTAGGTGTCTGTGGATTGGTCTTTTCCATACCTTTGATACTGCAGTTTGGAAGTCGTATTTTTTGCCCTGTTTACGTTCCATGTTTTTCTATATTCAGATAATGGGTGAGCAACTTTATCTGAGATCCGTTCACTCCCTTTTCCTTCTACTAATCAAACATTTTACTGTTATACCTGTTACAGATGTTCTCTTTTCTAATGCATAATTGTTTATTAATTTAACATATATTGAAATATTATAATAATATGTTTGTGATTTTTAGATTTTATATTTTTTGAATATTTCTGATGAGCCTGTTCTGGGATATAATCCTCCAGCTACAATTACAACTTTTCATGTACATCTGTGGAGTTGTGCTCTTGATTACAGGTAAATAAAATGCAAGTGTATATCACTTGGTGGCACTGCAGCTATATATTTATTCTTTAGGAACCTTTGAGTTTGCGTATTGTAAAGAATATTTATTTAGGCTTGTTTGGAAAAAAGTACTTAACAGAAATCTCTTAAACTGTAAGCAACTTAAAGTAGGATAAGCACTTGCCTAGGTCTGGGAAGATCTAGGTAGGTAACCTGTAAGACTTTGGTCGCACTTCTAAATAGGTACAGGCTATTAAATTTTTTTTTTTTTTCCTTGTTGTTGTTAGGCCCTTGTTTCTGCCAGTCAGATCTCTACTTACCGTTGAAACTTTCAGCATTTCCAGCAGTGTTGCAGTAGATAAATCCTCTTCTACTCTCAGGTATAATTAAAGTGATTGTGAAATGTGGAAGCTCCTGTAAAACTTGTAACACCTGTCTGCTTTTTTGACCTAGAAAGCATTCATGGTGTGTCAGTGGTCCCACTGGTTTGCATCGTTTGAAATACACTTTGCTTATGTGTAATCCGTTTGTTTTATTAACTTAAATACTTTTTTTTTAGTTGAATTGGTTTCTTAACTAGCAATTCTGCAATTTTTAGTTCAGTTGAAAGATGTCCTGAAATGAAATAGTGTCTATTTTGTTGATTAGTAGCACCTTAAGATTTCTTAAAAATTTGTTACTTGGAGACAGTGTATTAATTAAGGAAATATTTAGTCATTACTGAACATCTCTAACTTTTTAATACTTTTTCTTGCAACTTTAGTTGAATATTCATTCTGTTATACCTGTTCTGATGTGAACCATCTGCCATGTTGCTTGTTTCTATTCATAAAACCTTATAAATGGCCTTTGAAACATACATGTCTGTTACCTTATTAAAAAGAAAAAACGGTGAAGAGGGAAATAAGTGTTAATTCTATATGCCAAAAGCATTACTTTTTGTTCTGGGAAGGATCAAATATATAAATTGAAATGCAAATAGAATAGAATTAGCAATGGCAAAAATATCTTGCAGTGGTTAATTACCAATGGATTTGGAAACTATGGAAGGTTCAAGTGAAGAGTTTGGATTTAAAATATGCTAGATGTAGTTGTGTGTTTGATTTTTGTTCCTATACTAATTTCTTTTGTCTGGTGAATTGCACGGCATTTCTCTAGCATATTTCTTTCTTTCTTTTTTTTTTTTTTTTTTTTGACTCTAGGATAATTTTAGATGAAGCTGCTTTGCATCTGTCTGACAAATGCAACACTGTTACGGTGAACCTCCATAGAGGTAATGATGTTTTAGAGTTGGCTAATGAATTTCAGAGCCCAAAGAAACCAAATTACAGGCATATTCAGCATATGTAACAGTTAGTGAAGAGGAGGTATGAGGAGATAAGGACCAGCAAGTTGAATATAAATTAATAATGTACTGTTGATGAAAATCTGAGTGCTCTTGTTAGGATTTTTTGAATGCAGAGATATGTCAGAGAACAACTTGCAAGTCCTTCGTTTTCTCATTACAATTCCATAGTGGTTATTGGAAAAAAAGCATATTTTTAAAAATCTGGGGCTGGCACAGAATGAACTCTTCATAGAAAAGAGATCTCATTTTGTGAGATATGTATTCTAAATAGTTGAACTTGAAAGGTGTTATATGGCACAGTTTTAGGTTCTGAAAAGTGATACCAACTGGTTTGCTCACATTCATAGTAACCACCTTTAAGAACTAAGGAACTTGAATCAATATTTAACAAATGAATTGGAGAAATAACGAAACCCTGTGCTCCCAGATGCGTGTATTTAGTTTAGGTGGGAGATCTCTAGTGAAGGACGGAGTAGAGAGATGCCTGTCATGTTTAAACAAGAAAGAGGGGAAATAAGTTATTCACGGTACTGAAAGATTAGTACAATGTGGAAATGTCCTCTCACTTCAACTGAAAAACTGCTAGAATGCTCAGTCACTCAACTTCTGTGTGACTCTGATTCTCTAAGTCACACAGATGGGATGAGGATAAATATCTTAAAAGATTACACTGCTCACAGATGGTGGCAGTGGGAGTGATATATTGTATTGGAAAGATTTGAGTTCTTGATTTGAGTAGCTGAAACTTGAACTCTGAGAGTAATCCTAATCAAAGAAGGAAATGAAGTGATAGAAAAGGTTTTGGTAAGAGATCCCTTTTTATGCTCATCCTATTTCTAATGGTTTAATAATCAAAAATACATAGTAAGGATGGTTTGTTACTAAGTATTAATATATTTTTTTTTAATGACTGCTTTTTATTTAATTACTCATTGTCTTTCAGATTATGTTCGTGTTATGGATATGGGACTGCTGGAACTAACCATTACAGCAGTAAAGTCTGATTCTGAGGGGGAAAGAGTAAGTATTTCATCAAAAAATAGAATAAAATGTAAAATCTCCATGACAGATTGTAATTTGAAAATTATCTTATTATAGTTGGAATCAAGGAAAGTTTGTCAGCTTATTTGTGTATTTTTTTTTTATAATTTGCATGTATTTTTTTATAGTTTTATACATTTACACATTTAAATTAAAAATTTTAAACTTTTACATATTTATACATGTTCTGTGGGGATTTTAAAGTTCTTTTTGACGATTTTAAATAAATTAATTGAAAATCAACGGTGTATAGATGCTATTTTTATGACACTTTAGGTTGATTTGAAGTGTGTTCTTATCTTTTCATTCTTGCTATCTAGACTAAACCACGTTTTGAGCTGCACTGTTCCAGTGATGTCATCCATATTCGTACCTGCTCAGATTCATGTGCTGCACTAATGAATCTCATACAGTATATTGCAAGTTACGGTGATTTACATCCACCTGCTAAGACAGAGATTAAACGTGGAGTTAGCAAGCCAAAAATGAAGGTAGAAAATGGCAAAATAATATCAACTTAACTTTACGCGTCCTGGTAATATGTTTTAATTCTGATTTCCCCATTCTGTTTCCAAAGAATATGAGATTTCCTGCAAAGAAATTAACAAATTACATCTAACGTAACATATGGTTGAGAGTAAAATTGCGCCCTTTTTTCCTGCTTTAGTCACTACTTAATATTTTAAACTATTTTGTGCTGGTTACCTATTGTACTTTATTCATATCTGAAGAAGGACATTCTGGGACATACACAAGCTATCCAAGTACTCTGATATAAATACCCTGAACCACAATGTTCTACACCACTTTATGAATCACGTACCTTGGAGTTTCAGCTCACCTGATTATTTATAAAGTTAAGGTGTTGCTTCTTACAGTTTAAGAGCTGTGTATCGTGCCATTCTAGCGAAATCTTATCCAGCACAATATTGCAGTTGTCTTTACCTATGTGTCGTTTCTCTCCTACAGGTAGAGACCTTTAGCCAGGCATCTTCCCACGGCCCAGTCCTTGCTGAATCAGAGCAACAGATTTTACGGGATTTGATGAGTGATGCAATGGAGGAAATTGAGACTCAACAGACTGCTGCTGCCATGAAGCCAGAGTCTAATGGTAAGAATCCTCTGGAGGCATAAGCCCACATATAGTACAACTTTTCTGGAAGGAAAGTAGGATTTAAAGTTTTTGTGTATGTAGAGGTGCAGCAACAAGAATGGGGGATGTACCTTTGATGGCTGAACTCTTCAAACTCTCAACCAGAATCTCGCCTTTAATAACAGTAATGCAAAAGTAACTTAAGATTCTAGTCAAATACACATTACTGGGATACTGAAAGCACCAAGGAAGGAATCTGACTTTGTGGGACTCTGTCAAGACCCCAAAATCTCTAGGAGTGTACGTTAGTATGGGTGTAAGTTTCTGTGGCACACTGCGGTGTGGAGGAGTCCGAGACCTCCGTTCTGTGTATGAAGGCAGTCCAGCAGAATGGTACAGTTGTGAGTTACAGAAAGAACTTCTGGCTATGAGGGAATCCTTCAGTTAGCAGATAGAAGAAGATAATTGATTTTATCTCAGGATTATGGCTTCTGCATCGTGGCTAGAGTCAAATCCACCTTTAAATTGGCTAAGAATTTTGAAGCGCAAATAGAGAGTTTCACTATTTCCATGATGTCTGGCCTCCTTGATGGTGGAAGGTGAGCAGTCAGGGTAGAACTGAAAGTTACTGGTGCTGTCGTCTTACTGCCAGAATGAGAAACTCGGACACAAAGATGGGGTTTTGTATCAGTGGGGTTTTTTACAAATAGTTTTTCTGTATTTTGTCAATTCATCTCTGCTAGTAACTAGTTAGGATTATATTGTAATCACTTTCAATTGTGCAGTAGATGCATTTTTGAAAATTGTTTTTTATTTATAGTAGAAATGGATTCAAGGTATGATAAGCAAATTCCCTTGTTGTAATTGAAGCAACAAATTTTAGTTAACTATTAGGTTATTTTTAAAATATTTTCACATTTTGTAAAGATTTTTCCACTGAAACGTGTTTTTTCTCCACCCTCCTTCAAATCCCAGGAGTTTTGGATGACAGATCTCAAACTCAGGAGCCATCTTGCTCAGATCTCTTCCTGTTTCCAGACGAAAGCGGAAATGTCTCACAAGATCCAAGTCCCACTTACGCTTCATTAACTCATCACCTGATAAATGAGGCCATGGGAGACGCTCCTGCAGAAAGTGATGATTTCTGCATTCTTTTTGCACCCAAAGTTGCTGTTGCCGTAAGAAGCTTTAAGAATTACTAAAAAAATCCATATATAAAGTGAATTAGAGAATAGCCTATGTAAGACTTAGACAGATTAGATTTCAGAGCTTTTGGTGATTGCTGAATGATATTTTTATTAGTGAGCAGAGTAGTAGAAAAATAATCTTTCTGTTTTTGAAAGGACTTCATGCATTGTTACTGTTAGGAATGAATGCAGGTATTTTTAAATATATGTGGGTTTTCTATACCTCGGCAGTATGTAATTGTTCTCTGATCTGAATATGATGTTAAACTATATTGTCAATTTTCCTACGTTTCAGTCATGTTTTATCATTACAATTTTGACTTACAGTAACAGCATAATTAGAAAAAATTGCTTTAAACAAAATACAGTATTTATTGAAATAGCAGCTTTGCACGTCTTCTGATCTTTTATTAATTGCTCTTGTAGTCTAATCTTTCAGTGCTTTTATGTGCCCAAGACCCTTGCCAAACCCCAGAGAAAAGCTTGTGTGTCACTTGACACCCCTGTCTCTCCACTGCATTAAAAAATTTAGGAAACTATACTCAGACTCTTTGAAAGCAGGTTGTGTTCATGTTTTTCATAGTATCTCTGGTTGTGTTGTTCTTAATAGACAGAAGTAGTTCTGGATCCCTGATTAGAAGCTGTGTTTGCCCCGTTACCTTTGAGCTTGTTTCCAAAAGTGCTAATATGGTAGCCTGGGCTCTTCCATGGTGTTTTGTTTGTTTTCAACTCCTGTTTTGTTTTGTTTATAGTTTGGATGAGGAATATATATATTTTTTTTTTTTTTTAACTGCTTCTCAGCTTCTAGTTTATACTTACATGCTGTTGTCTTTAAGTTACTTTGTAAATACCGTTCCTGCACCAAGCCTGTGTTGTATTAGCTTTAGAAGACAGCACAGAATAGTTTCTTTTTTCATAGGAAAGGATTAGAGATCTTGATAAAGAAAGCAGATTTCACCTTCTCAATGGTATGTACTTTCTTTTTTTTAATTAGGAAAAAGAGGAGGAGCCAGTAATAAAAATAATGGTTGATGATGCAATTATCATAAAGGAAAATCATTTCAGCCAACCGATTAAAAAAACAGATACAAGCAAAGCTCCCCTTCATTTTCCTGTTCCTCTGGTACGCTACGTTGTAAAGGAAATCTCTCTTATTTGGCATCTTTATGGTGGAAGGGATTTTGGGACTGCACCACCAACATCTCCAGCTAAAAGTTTTGTGTAAGTGTTTTTAATGTAATTATGTAGATTAGAACATCTAAAAATAGTGACTTTTCTTTTGATTTGAGGTTAATCTCACTATTCAATCTCAAGTCTTCCTCTCTTGTTTCTTTGCTCCCCCCTCACAAGCGGGGAGCAAATCAATCAAATCCTTCAATCCCAGAATGGTTTGGGTTGGAAGGGACCTTAAAGATCATCTGGAATATTCTTACTCAGTTTAGCTCCACTCACCAGAGTGTATTTTTTTCTGTGTCTTAAAATGGACGAGCTGAGTTTGGTTTTGGTGTTTTTGGGGGGATGGAGGGGTGGGTTTGCTTTTAAGGGTTATATTAGAAGTTAAGTTTTCCTAAAGAAATTGGGGCTTAAGGAGCATAAAAAACTATAACTATGGTAGCTGTAGTCTGGTTTTCAGGATGTTATGTAAGCTAAGGAGTAATTATCACAGACAAAATTAAGGAAATGTTTTATGAATGTTAATTTGGTGGGAAGAATACACCTGGCATTCTGCTTAAGTATGCATTACTTAACCAAATACTTTCTGTTTGTTCAACAGTAACACAACTTTCAGTATTTTTTGGTATTCTCTAGTATTTTTCTCTTATAATCATTAAAATACTAATAAGTTATATCCAGTGAAACATACACGCTTTTAGTGTTAGGTAGCTTTAAGTTTAATACGTGAAAGTGTATTTATTTTTTTATTTCCCCAGAAGTCCCCATAGTTCTCCTTCTCATACACCAACGAGGCACGGACGGAGTACAGCGTGTGGGGGAAGAGGAAGAAACCCAGACTTCCTAATGGAAATACAGTTAAGCAAGGTGAATGACAGAAACAGCTTCAGCCATGACTGTCTGTGTGTGAAGATATTTACATGTTAGAGCTGCTTGATAATAGCTCTCCGTTAGAATTCAGCAGGAGTTCCTCCACTAGTATCTACATCTAAGCAATTGCTTTGAAGCTGATGAATTTAGGATTTGTTTAACAAGAAATGTGTTTGCTCTAGCATAGTTTTGCTTACTTGCTGAATAAACATGCTTCTAAAGATGAAGGATATTTATTATAATATTCTTAAAGCTTTTATTTATTATAACCATGTTTTATAACTGCTGTTGTGTTTTTCTGTCTTCGGTTCTAGTCTGAATTGATACATCTATTACAAAATTACATGTTTTAGCAAAATAAGCGTGGTGTAGATTTGTTGAGACACTCAGTGTATCAGACGATAACTGGATATTAAGTACCATCCAGTTATATTGCAATATAATTCCCATATTTCCCCTAACATACTTAGCACTCTTCAGGCGAAGGTATATTACTGTTGTTTTTAAGCCTGTGCTTAGCTCCAACACAGAAACTAGATGCTTGATTCTGGCACTGGGAAGAGTATTGGCCAGGAGTTAACCAAATTTCATGTTAAATGGATCAGTAACAAAACCTTTTTAAAATAAGTTTTTCTCAAACAGTTCTGTAAACATGGAAAGTACTACATAAAACTAAATGCCCCCTATAGTCTCTGTGCGGTTTTAGAGCTTAAAACTCATCCCATTAGCACTTCAAACTTGCCAGAAATGCTTGATAGTTACTTTAGCCTTTCCTAGAGAAACCATGGCATTGCAGTAAAAAAGAGGAAAAAAAGGAAGCATTTAATATTCCATGTGGAAAACTTCATATGTGGAAGTATAGCAATCTCTCTTAACTTGCAGGTATTTAATGAGTTGGTTAGTACTGAGGCATAGTTTGTTTTTTTTTTTTGCCTTATTTATACCTCTGACTTGGTACAAGGCTTAATAATACGAACAATGAAAAAAATGTTTGAACAAGAAAATAAGAGTGTCAAAAACGTAAAGTTTCTCAGCGAAGTTTATGACGGGCATCTAGTTTTCTCTTCAACACTTAATGTTCGTTATCACATGTGTCTTGAGTACAGGGCACTTAAAGACGGTGTTTCTCAACATCCCCGTGTCTGGCCGGGGAGGCCAGCGCTGCCTGGCGGTGCCGGCAGGGGTGCCGCGGAGCTGCCCGAGGCAGGGCACGATTTGTAGGTACCCACAGGCCCTTGAAAATGAGAACTAGCTCAAAAGATGAGGAAAAAGGAGAGAATTCAGAATTCTTTAGAAATTAAGAAAGGTAGTGGATTAGAAGTCATATGAAGTGAGTAAAGAAAAAGGAAATCGTGACTGGAAGAATCTACTTGAGAGGTCTGGTAGGGGGGAAAAAAAAAACCCCTTACTTTACTAAGTATAGAAGCTGCAGGATTAAAGAATTGCAAGATTGTCCAGTACAGGCTTCAAAATGATGTAAGAAAGATGTCGGGATTGAGAGGAAAAAGCAGGATTGATATTAAAACGAAAAGTAAAACTTGTTATTTGTCTCACTGACTCTTTGTTTTGGCTCTAATTTGCATCCTAAAATACGAACATGTACACAACTAGGAATTGGAAGATTTCTACTGCTAGATGTGTAAAATTCTGAATAGTTTTCAGAAATCCTAATATTATTCCCGTAAATTAAAAATAGTAGACAGCTTTTAAAGTTCTTGTGTGGTGTGGTTTTTTTGGTCGTTCTTGTTTTTTTGTTTGTTTGTTTGGGGTCTTTTTGTTGTTCTTGGGTTTTTTAAAGTAGTATTGTTAAAAGTTGTTTTTCACTGACGCTGACTTACGCTGGTTTTCTTTCCTTTTTAAAAGGTGAAATTTCAGCATGAGGTGTATCCTCCAGGTGGTGCAGACGGTGAATGCAGTCTGTTGGAGCAGCCCGTGTCACGGCAGGTTTTTATTGTTCAAGACCTGGAGATCAGAGATCGCTTAGCTACGTCACAGATGAATAAATTTCTTTATCTCTACTGCAGTAAGGAGATGCCCAGAAAAGCACATTCAAACATGGTACAGTTATGGAATATGTTAATTCATTACAATTATAGTGGTTGGACTATCACTGAGGATTGTATACATTTCTTAATCTTGCAGAAGAAGGAACTTGAGGTCATGGAACATTGAAGTAATAAACTTGTTGATAGCTATTTGCTTGACTCCTTGTGGATATTAAAACTTACTAAAAAGTCAGTTTGAATATTATGTCCGGTAAGAATGTTTTTGAGATCGTCAGGTTAAAAAAAGTAGATGTGCAGGACTACTTTGGTAGCGTTCACATTTTGGTTTTGAACAAACATCAGCTTGTATGACTGATTAGACTTTTCACTACACATGCAGAATTGTAGTTTTGTGATCTACTGTAGTCCTACTGGTTCTGTAAACAATATGAGTTTGGTTTTGGGGGTTTTCTTATTTTAATTTTCTTTTTATAACATCCATAATAAGTTACCTGATATTAGGTAAGTAGAATCAGATCAGTACAGAGGTTTTGCAGTACATGTTTTTTCTAGCTAGTGTTCTGAGATTTAATAATTGTGAATGTTACTGTTCTGATTTATCTTGATGCTTTTTTTTCAGTTAACAGTTAAAGCATTACATGTCCGTCCAGAGTCTGGCAGATCCCCGCAGGAATGTTGTTTACGTGTTTCACTAATGCCACTTCGCCTCAATATTGACCAGGTTGGTTGTGCCAGTGCAAAAAAATAATTTTTCATTTATTTAATGATGCTGATTTTTTACCAGACGCTTGTAACCACCATACACATTTTATGGGGTTGTTTTCTTGGTTTGATACCTCTTTTATTTATGATCAGTTGCCTGAATCATTAGATCTCTGCCGCTCTGTTTGTATCCGTATTAGAACTTGCCTTCTGCTCCACCTATTATGGAGACTAGCCACTTTTTTGTTTTTTAATTTAAAAGCTAAGAATATCTGTAGACCTGGCTAGTTACTCACTTATATGGGTTTACCTCCTGAGACTTCTGATGATTTCAAATGTTTTGAAATGAGGGCTTTTAAAAAGCATGTACTTATCCTTAAATGATTTTGCTTTGTTTGTTCATGAAGTGGCTTTGGTGTTTTTAACTGAAAAAAGTTAATCATTAATCTAGAAGTTGTTCACAACATTTTAGTCAAGGCACTTGACAGTTGAGGGCTGCTTCTATATTCTGAAGGCTTTGGTCTTGCTATCAACTGCAGTGAAATGAAGAACAGAAATGGGAGAAATTGCTTTATTTTCTTTCGCAAGCCTTTGTGCGAAGCATATTTCATATACTCAGGAAACAGATGGGATTTTTTTCTACACCAGTAAGGAAGCTACATATGTTTGTGCATTCAAATTTAAAGTGCAGTTATTCCTCTGAGTCATTTCTTGCTTAATTTGTCACCTGCAGAGGAATGTGGGTTATTTTTTTCTCCAAGAGCACAATTAGGAGTTCCATACATACTTTCTGCTTCCCTCAACACAAATTAGAGACTAGGTTTTCATTTTACTGTTAGAAAAATTAAACTCTGTATAGGTGATAATTTCATATAGAAAAATAGCATGGAAGTATTGCTATCTAGTAGGGAATTATGTTCCCTTTTGCTTGCTTTTCCAAGTTTTTGCTCTTCTGTACCATAAAAAAAAAAAAATTGCCTTTACAACTTCTGCAAAATTAACCACAGCTTTCTTGGAAGCATAAGGCTGCATGCAGTCACGTTAGAAATTCATATTATTACTACGTAAACTGTCTGCTTAACAATTGGAAACAAAAAAGGAAAAAAAACATCCAGATGTCATTAATGATAGGCTGGACAAGGCACCAGTGTGATGCCTATGTCAGAAACAGAAAATGGGAGGTAATAACTTTGAGACATTACCAGCAGGGATATTAATAACTTTTAATGAAGCAGTGGTGAGATCTGATCTGGAATAATTTGTCTGACGTTGGCACTACTAGAGATGAATATAAACTATACTTGAATACCCTTCTGTTAGAAATTGGAGAAAAGTTTTTAGCCATTAAAACACTTGGGTTCTGGAACAGTCTCCAGAATGAGGGTAGAGATGATGAAAACAACTGGAGTTTAAGACGTGGCTAGATAGATTATGAAATCATATGTAGCAGGGGGCAATGACCAAGAGGGTCTTTTAGGTTTCTGTCCTAGATTTCTGTGTGACTTCTGCATGTGGTAAAGGATCAATAAATAAGAAGAAATGTGTTTTAATTCGTATCTGTACAGAAATAAAGAGCTGGAATTGTAGATAATATTTTTCTAGCGAATTGGGGGTTTGTTGTTTTGTTTTTTGTTTTTTTTTTTTTTTTAACCTGGTTGTATTTTATTTTTGACACTAGGATGCCTTGTTTTTCCTGAAAGATTTTTTCACTAGCCTCTCTACAGAAGTAGAACTCCTAGTTACTCCAGATCCTGAAGGTATACTTTTCAAAAATCTAATGTGAAAGTGCTTATTTCTCCTTTAACGTGTGTACGAGTCTATAAATTCACATGTGAATCTTCTGTGTGTAAAAGAACTTAGGTTAGTGACCAAACCCCACCATTAGTAACTCATTTGTTAGAACACAGAGACTTCGAGTATTTTAGTTTTGTATTTTATAAATATCAACAAATGGGATCTCCTTTGTGTAAAAGATTTCGCCAAAATTGGAGCATATTTAATGAGAAGTTTAATAAAAAATTGAGGACTGTGTATATAATATTAGGAAATATTATTGGATAAAACAAATACATGATGTAATATCTCTTGCATAAAAAGAATATGCCTAATAGCTTGAAGTTGTGTAACCTCTAGAGAAAGGAACAGAATTCAAGATTAGAAATAAGCAGTACAATGTATGTATACAGTTAAAACAGTACTTCTAATCAGCTGCACCATCTGATGCAAAAAACAGTATATGTTGAAAAGCCTATTTCCTCTACTGAATACATTTGTGAGTTTGTTAGCAGCTATATTTTACCTATTTCTGTTGAGACTTCATACTGAAATGCATAGGTAACAAAGAACTCTGCAATACTGCCATTAAAACTAGATGGATTATTTATGCTGATGCGTAAACCTGAAGCTTCGTGTAATAATTTCTGTTGTTAAATAAGATACTATCTTACCAAGAGAATCTAAACACTGTCCTGCTAGTAATTCCTATCGATAAGGATTAGAGCTTACTGAGGACACAGCAATTGTATAAACACAATCTTTTTGTAATCACTGTGAAAAATGTGAGTCAGTTTACTGTGTGTAACTTCTTATCTTAGTTAAAAAGTCTCCTGGTGCTGAAGTTACGTGTAGTTTGCCCAGGCATGTCAGCAGCCTTAAGGACCCAAGTCCAGTCATTTCTTTCTCATCACACAAGCAAGCAAATGAAAATGGTAGCATTGATTCTATGGATGCAGTTAATGGAGATGATCATAATTTCTCACAAGAAGTGACACCATACAGTGATCAGCCGGTATTTTTCAGGTAAACTTTCGTTACAAAATTTCCAGTGACACCAGCTGCTCTGATGAATGTTTTAAGAAAGTGTGATGATAAACTATTCAGACCTTATGACAAGGTGCATTTGTTTGTTTATTGACTGATTGTGGTAATCAAATACGTATATTTGCTTCTATCACTGGAAGGTAACTAATGATTTTTTTTCTTTTTTTAGCTTTTGCACACTACCATGCACAAGAAAATAAAATTAATTAAAACTCTGCCATGCGCAGAACCAGTAATGAGATGTTTTATAAATAACTAAAAAGAAGAGACTTTTTACTCTTATGTCTAACAGCATGAGCTAGATCTAATATAAACAGAGATGGGACTGTATAAAGGAAAAGGATATCATAGGAGAGGTATGAGATTAAAATATCACAAGAGAAACTTTAATGTAGTCCTGACTGGGAAGTGAGTATAATAATTGCAGCTTGTTGTGCAGAAGTTTTTTCTTGTGTAGTCAGATCATAAGTGCCTCTAACAACAGATGTGTGCTTTGTTAAGCAGTGCAGAGCCAAATTATGAGAGAATGACTGTGGTTCTATTTCATCAGATACATCACCATCAGAGTTTTTTAATAAGTTCCAGCTGCACGGCTAGATTTTGCCCAAAGGACCATCATTAGCCATACTTTTGGGGGGGTGTTTTTGAAAGTGAAATTCATGCTGTGGAAATTGAGGGAAGATGTTCACCTGCAGGATTAGTAGCACTTTTGCAGGCCTCTTGAATTGATTCTAAATGCTAAACCTCAGCTAGATGTTATTAAGCCAAGAAAAGCTGAATTTGCCACTGTATTTTGTACGCTTCTTCTGAAGTACTAACACGGTAACTAGAAGATTTGTGGCTTACAGGAAAAGGGTATTGCATCCTATTCAAGGAGGGTGGGAAACCATGGGTTTCTTTTTGGAAGGATAATTTCATTTCCTTTTCATGTTTCTCACTGTAAAATTTCCTTTACATATGCCAGAGAATTTCGGTTTACATCAGAAGTTCCAATACGTCTTGATTACCACGGCAAACATGTATCAATGGATCAGGTTTGTGTATAATACTGATGCTGTAGAACAAAAAATTGATGATTATTTTGCTTTTTTTCCACCCCATGAGTTGGGGTATATTTTTATGCTCTGTACTCATTATTGATGTGATATTGAGAAATGTAGAACTTTTTTTTTTTTTTAATTAGTTTCAATAAAGCTTAACTTGATTTCACTCTTAATTTGAAAACTAGGGCGTGAACCCTTCAGGTATAATTAATTCAGAGTACGACTTGAAAGTCACATTTATGAACTCAGTGTCTGGCAGGAAATCTTTCTACACAGCTGTGGTGCCCCTCAAAGGACGATACCAGTATCTGATACCAGAATTGTGCATTTATTTTTCTTCCTCAGTAATGCCAGAATAAAGTATTATCTTTTTTTTTTTTTTCCCTTAATTCCTTCCCTTTCAGTCTAGTAATGTATGGGCTTCAGTGGCAATGGCAGAATCTAATATGGGTTAAAATAATACTTGTAGTTCTTTTTAAAATGTGTATTGGTTGTCATACTGAGTTAACAGAACAGACCTCAAAAAATCCTGTTTGCGCAACCAGATTTGTACTCTGCATGGCAAATCAGTAAGAAAGTATGGACAAGTAAAAGCAGCAACTTTTTGAATTTGCACTGTTGCCGAAGAAATCAAACCAAGAAATAGCAGCTTTAGAATGCCCGGAACACACTGATGCCAGAGCTATTTTTACATAATTTGTTATACCTCACTATTTCTGAAGAAGCCCTCTTCTATCCAGATGTTTTTCTTAGAGTAGCTGATTAAGACAGATTCCATCTTTTGCAAGTTTTCGTGTAACATAATTCTTAGCGCTGTAATGTGCAGCGTTTGGGAGACTTGGGAAGAATCAGTGTAGACAGAATGAAAATTGAGATGATTAAATGATTTCTCACCTACAGATTGTATAGGATGAGTAAACTCCCGTGATAACAAAATACTTTCCTTACAGGGGACACTAGCTGGGATTCTTATTGGGCTTGCTCAGTTAAACTGCTCAGAATTAAAGCTGAAGAGACTCTGTTACAGACATGGGTAAGTTTACTGAATTGTAGATTAACACTGGTATTGCAAATTCAAAAACTTGATGGTGAATAACTGAACGTAGCAAGCAAAAAGCAAATCCTCTGATAAGGTGCACTTCTCAAATCCAGGGCACTTTTGGACTTTACAAATATTTCTTGGTTCTAGTTTTTATCCAATATATAGTGTTCAAGAAAAATATGTATTTTTGGGGCAGCATTTAATATATGTGCTGGTTTTGCTGCTGAACTTTTAATTTCAGTTGTACGTTTACTTCCTGTTCAACTGGATGTGGTTATGCAGTTTTGAACTTCGGTTTTGTGGAGCACACGTGTGAAGTGCTTGGGTTAGCCAACAGCAACAAAAGATGACACTTGAAAACAGCTTGCTTTCTGTTTAAAGGAAATTTTTGTTTGCTTCAGTGAATAATGCATGTCTTATTAAGAGTTGTATCTTTTTTTAAAAAACCTAATTATTTAATTTGCTTCAGTTTATTAGGTGTGGATAAATTGTTCTCCTATGCCATCAGCGAATGGCTTAATGATATAAAGAAAAACCAGCTACCAGGAATTTTGGGAGGAGTAGGGCCTATGCATTCGCTAGTGCAGTTAGGTAAGTTAATTCTTATTTCTATTCACACACATAAGGCAGTTTGTTTGTTTGTTTGTTTTTTAAAAAAAAAGAAAAAACAAGACAAAAAAACCAAAAGCAACCAACCAAAAGCCCCACAGACAGCGTGGGCATTTATTTTCCCTTCCTCTCAAGACGTTCTGCTTATCTAAGAGAACTTTTTGACTCTGGTGTTCTGTCTTCCTTTACAGTCCAAGGCCTGAAGGACTTGGTGTGGCTCCCAATAGAGCAGTACCGGAAGGATGGCCGTATTGTAAGAGGCTTTCAAAGAGGAGCAGCTTCTTTTGGTACTTCCACTGCAATGGCAGCACTGGAGCTAACAAACAGAATGGTTCAGACTATACAGGTACAGTGTAGTCCTTCTGGAGTTAGCCATAAAATGAGAAGTGCTCCTACTAAGTGCTCTGTATTAAGCTAATACCTTAATGATACGTATTTAAGGTTGGGAGCATATCTTAAAAAAAAAAAAAAAAAAGCAGCTGTATAAATAGGAAAGTGGAGGCTGGGCAAAGCTTGCAGCAGTCTGTGAGGCGAGAACTATGGCATCAAATGCAACGGTTAGAAAATTGTCTTAAAATACTACTGCACACCCAAGCTGTTACATTTTTCTTAATGTCTTTAATGTATTACAGTGTACAATTTAATACTGAAATACTCAGCTGCACTAAAAAGTCAGTAATACTGAGAAAGAAGAGTTCTTTGCACATAGACATTCTCCAGTAATAGATTCTTAATTTTTTTTAAAAAAGTCATCTTATCTGTGCTTATTAAAAAAACAAACCAAAACCCACAATTCCAACCAACCAAAGAATGCCTCAAAACCAGTACGAAGTGTGTTCATGTACACAAAGGCTATAAAGCTTTCTGGATTTAACCCTAAAATAATCTTGGATTAACGTGTTAATAAATTTATGTTCCTTAATGTAAAATACATAATGAAAATACAGTTTTACCACCTAGTTTTGTAAAAAATGTATATACGTGCCTAAGCTTGAACAAAAAACCAGTGGTATTATTCCCGAGCGGAATTCTGTGTATGCTTGTGCAGTTGTAAGAGAAACCTGCTGTTGATCAAATGTTTTAGTTTCTATCTTGAACATTTTCTACAGATTAAAGGAAGGCATTGAAGGAATGGCAGTTAGGGAAGGGGGAGCCAGAAACAACCTACCAAAACCTACAGCATTCGTTCTTTCATGGAATTTCATGTACAGTTATAGCTGCACCTGTTCAAGAAGTCCTTGCACAAAACCTTAATCTGATGTAAATGAATGTTATTTGTGGAATTAGAATTATTTCAATTATGTCATCCTGTTAGTAGTTTAAATATGTTATCGGAGGCGGTAAGATTTCTTACCTACTTCTCATTCACTCCTGATCTTCAGGCAGCTGCAGAAACTGCGTATGACATGGTATCACCAGGCCCTACTTTCATTGAAGCAAAAAAGATCAAACGATTCTCTCGCCACCGTTTAGCTCATCAGCCCGTAGACCTCCGGGAAGGTGTAGCCAAAGCGTACAGTGTAGTAAAAGAGGTGAGTGTTAAAGGAATTGTCATTAATCAAACTTCAGAATTATTTCCTATGACAGCAAATAAAATATCAGATGTTAGTTTAAGCTGACCGAATGAAGAAAGGGATTGCAGTTTTCAGCAAGACTGTCTTCCATGGGCATTCTTAAACCAACAGAAACCTTGCGTGGAAAAATCAGAGAAGCAGAAATAGACGAAGACATTATGCAGATTAGTGTGACTAGGACTTCGGTGTTCTACAGTTGTGAGGGTTTACAGTTATTTTGGGACATGTAAACCCAATTTCCTGCCCCGTGTTCCCTTCCTGCCTGCCCTTCCCCCTGCCCCCCCCCCCCCCCCAGTTACTGTTAATTCTGAGGTTGTTGGAGTTTAAGCGTAATACTAGACTTAAAACAAGGGAAAGCTCTCTTTACTGTGACAGTGTGTTGAAAAATTAGAATGCCGACCTGTTCTTATTGTACTTTTTGTATTATACTTTCAGTTAGTTGCACCTGATACTGTCTCTAGGAAGGTAGATCTCAGCTGAGGAGTTTTCAGTGAATTCTGTCACTTTTGAGTAGCTCACAGTACCCCACAGCTTCTTCCCTTATGCACAGGAAGTGCCACCAGAAGTTATAGGAAATATTTTCATCTGTAAGTTCATAGTAGTGTTGTTTTAAGCCTCGTTAGAACTGAACCGCATAACTGTAATGCAATTATACTGATGCAAATAATACAAATCACAAAGACGACAAATGCTGAGCATTTGCTTCCCTTTCAAATTAGGAGAGGCTGCTTTTTCTTTTTTAGCGTAACTAATTTCTGTTAATTTCTTGAAGGGGATTACGGACACGGCCCAAACCATCTATGAGACTGCAGCCCGTGAGCACGAAAACAGAGGAGTAACTGGAGCGGTAGGAGGAGTCCTTCGCCAAATTCCACCGACTGTGGTGAAACCTTTCATTGTGGCAACTGAGGCAACCTCAAATGTTCTGGGTGGAATGAGAAACCAGATCAGGCCGGATGTGCGTCAAGAAGAGTCTCAGAAGTGGCGCCTTGGGGAGGATTGAGATTATAAATCTGGCTCAGCAGGCAGGTAGCGCGGCTGGAAATGCAGCAGATTGTCCCGCTGGCAGCTTTAGATGGAGCTCACTTTGTCTCGTCACGCTCATCTCAGGAACAAACGAGGTTTTCCACTACTATTAGCAAAACATCCAACCAAAAATATTTATGAAGTGAAAAGCAAATTGGTACTTGCTTATAATGTGTGTTACCAATACATTTGGTAGATAGTGCCAAACATAGCGAAGCATGCGCTGCCAACTCAGAGACATGCTTGCTCTATTCCGTTTACCATATTTTTCTTGGTAGATTTAACATCTGAAGCTGTAGCCTGTATGGTGAAACCAAGCATACTTACAGATGTTTTCTGAGCATAGTCAAAGAACTGTCATCCCTAAAGGGTTCTGCAGATGCTCTTCACTGACTAAAGGATAAAAGCTTTCATTTTGGACACGAGACATGAAGGCTGTGTAATATGGAAGCAGATAGGATAATATCGTTTCGTGGTCATAAGCAAGCTTGATAACCATTCAGCATTTAGATTCAGTGTCCATACACCTACGAACAGGATTTGTTCCTAAATACTAAACACCTGCTTTTGCGGGTCTTTGAAGAACCCGAATGTTGCAGAAATGTTCTGTTGTGTTGCACTTTAAAGGATATGGCCTGTATATTGTGCTTTTTTTATAGTGTGAATAAAATGTAACGTGCATTATCCTTTATGTGGTTTAGAAGCTTACACAGATTATTGAAAAGAGCATCATTTGATGATGATCCTGCAGAAAAGTGTCTTAAATTTGTTTAAACTCCTCATCGTGTGTAAAAACACTTTTGTCTTCTGTTACACTAATTACAATGCTAGAATAACTATTCTTCAGGAAAACAGCAGTTAAATATTATTGTGGCCGACAGTTCTTTGTAAGAATGTGAAATCCTAAGTAAAAACAAATTAGTTCATAATTTCATAGTTAAAATTCTATATAGACTTTATTTTAATAACCCACTTTTATTTAAAGTTCATATCGTTGCAAATTTGCTGCTCTCACAAGGTATTTTTGATTTAAATCGTGCGTCGTCAGTTATTTGACGACGAGTATTCGGGGTCATTTAATTTGAACTGGGGATGGGCGAGAGGATTATAAAAAAAAAAAAAAAAAAAAAAAACACCAAACAAAACTTCAAAAATCAAAGTTGGTACTGACCTTATCTAGAGTTTAGTAGGTGGCCAGGATCTCCACGGGGCTTTATTAAGCAACTGACATTGCGCCATTTCTGGGCAGTTAAAAGGCTCGGCAGTAGCTGTGCAAGAATAAACCTTTTTCCTTGTATTAGCAAAAACTGGAAAATAAAAAGTAAAGACTATTCTGAATAGAAAAAATACTTATTTTCGATTTCAACAACTTAACGCTTTGGATGACTCGCCAGAACATGAGTTTGTCATTGTCTTGTGCTTGTCCGAAGTGGGGATCGTGCACGTGTGGAACATCCCCCCTGAGAGGGGGGCATCAGATGCCACCGATCAGACTTCAGTTTCTAAGGGTGGTGAGGAAATAGTTTCCCCTCTCTGTTATTTAATATCTGCCACTAGCAAAAACTTTGCTAATGGGCCTTACCGGAGAAATAGGAGTGTATGAAGGAAAATAGTTACTGCTTGTTCATCCTGATGCTGTAGCAGGTAATCCTGAACACCAAAGAATCTGCCTGGAGGATAAATGATTTGAAAACGTCCCCTCTGCTGGGAAGACTTCTGCAGTCTGCTTTATTACTTTTCATAAAGCACAACTCCAGTCACAAACAAATTCTTGCGTTGGCTGACAGGTGGTATTACAAAGTTTTGTTTTCATTCGCTGGAATCATCGAAGTTGTGGCACGCTTCGAAGACCTGGTGATTTCAGTTAAATGACGACTTGTAAGCAGAAGGAGGTGCTTTTGAGAGGACAAATCCCTGCAGGTTGAATCCCCTGAAGTATTGTCTGATGGAAGAAGGCTCGCTGCAGCTCGTCCTTCCGTGCAGTCGTTAGAGAGCTGTGCTTCAGTGAGAGCTCAGAGCTGGAGCACCTGGCACAGGAGGGAGTTCCATCTTTGCAATCAGGCACCTCCTGAATGCCTTCTCAAGAAGTGGCTGGGAGTCAATGCAAGTAAGTAGCAGCGCATCTTTTCCATTTGCAGGTGCCCTACTGTGTCATTTTGGCTGGCCCAGTTAATCGGAGTATACTGTAATATTACAAATCTACATATTTTCTTCCTTCTTGACATTGCTGGAAAGGAGCAGCGGCATTTCAGTGTTCATTTAATTTTCAGTTCTGTCATGATCTGGTTGTACTGCAATGCAATTAGAATATATTTTTATATGAGGGCATGCTGTCAAGGTAAAACATTTTTATAGTGTCTCATTGTCAGCCATACAGATTGTACAAATTTATTAAACTTTGCTTTTCACCATGTAAACCCTTGCATTTACTGCTTGCACTTTATTGAGCCTTTTCAGTGAAATTGATTCAAATTTTTTCCAACATTTTAGTTTTATAAGCAGTTTCTTAATTATTGGATGTATATTCTGAATTTTCAGTTGTAACATGATCTTGCAGCGTGTGAAATGTATAAAAAAAAAAAAAAATAAAAAACAAAAACCACCAAAAATCATCCCCAACAAAACTCACCGAACTAGTCTTCACATTAGGACTTTGTTTTCAAAATGTGTCTTCTACGGGGCGGCTTGTGTTTTAAAACAAAAACTATGTATTGTGTATGGAAGGGGCTTCATCAAATGCTCCACTCAACGCTGTAAGAGTGTTTAAGCACTTATTTAAAAAGAAAAAAAAAATACACAAAAAGAGATTTGACTCTGGACATACTTCCATAAACTGGAAGCCTCTGGATACATTACTGTATTCTCCGTTAGCTTGAGGAGATGTGCGGAAGAACTGTTGTACTTGAATTTTCCACTGAAATCAGTTGGTGTAGATACTGGCACTGCTCATAGTGGTGGTGGGTGTAAACTGGCGCGCTCCGTGTTCAATGTTCAAATTCCCTGGTGGTGAACTGACTTACACTCCTACTGCCACTCCTCGTCCTTAGTCTGACACTGTCCTGATAGAACTGTCATCCCGGGTTCTCTTTACGCATCCTGGCCCTTCAGATAGTACCTGCATGGGTGCCTGGGAATTACCTGAAAAAAAGACATCGTTTGGGAAAAAAAAAAAAAAAAACAAACAAAATAAATAAAAAACCAAAACAAAGCATGCTTCAAAAGAATCTCAGCAGTGACCGAGAGCAACAAATCATCTATTTTCTTTCCGAGATCTGCTGACGGTTCCAAAGCACTGCGACTTTTTTAGGAATGCAGTGGGCCCTGCTAAGCACTGGCTCAGTCACCGCCGCGTTCGTAGGCGCTTCAGGGATGCGTCTGGCTGGATTTTCTCATTAAGTGGTTGATTGTGAGCGTCTGTTGCTTGCTTTCATTTCAAGTTGCTTCATTGAGTTGCCAAGAATCATTTCTTACTAAACCACAAAGCAGGTGAATGGTTGACGAGCAAAACACTCTTACTGAACGCGACACACATGCCTGCAAGTGCGGTACGGATTTTACTTTAGGCATTGAAATGCGTGCGTTTTGTAAAACAGGGAAATCCAATAATTTGTTTAGAATAGTTAAATGCTTCTAAATCCTTGAAATATACTAAATCTCACAGCAGTATAAGCATTGTCAGGGAAGGTGGGGGTATTTGTCAGTTCACCCCCCCCCCCGTGTGTATAGCTCTCTCAGTCCCCAGGCCTCATGATTTAAGCTTCTGACAACTGTTTTAAGTTGCTCCACGTGCTGTGACTCTTGTTTACAGTTAAAAAAATTAGATACCACAAATTAAGTACATAAATACAAATCATGCGTTTGTACTGGATTCCTTAATAGGTAGCTCACACAGAAACAGCAGTTTGTGTATATGTTTGTGTATATTTTTTTTTATATTTTTGCATTTATAGTAGTTTTGTGGTATTGTTTGTATATAGTTTGCTAGTGTAAAGAATATAATCTCATGAAATAGATACCACTGTTGAAGGGAATTGACTATTTCAACTCGAGTTATTTTGCTTAAAGTTCTTGTCCCCTCAGTATGTCTTTGAGAATTATTTTTGACCATAATTTATATGGCACCAAAAGTGTATATTTTAGCTTATTAAAATGCTGAAAGGCCTGAGTGCAAATAGGTTGTCCTGTTAAATATGTTTAATGAAAAAAAGAAAATAAATATTTGTAACAATACATAAATAAATATCTTAATTTGTTCCTTGAGTTGGTTTTCTCTACCTATGAATATAACTAATATAGAAAACAGTCTCCCAAAATACCTGAGTTAACTGTGAAAGATTTTTATCTACCTGGCTATACAGCTGTACCTCAAAAATGAAAAGAAGTTTTATACTGAAAAAAAAAAGCTTTAAAATTGCATAAAGATCAAACCCTAGGAAATAAATTAACCTGGCTGATACAACTTTAACCCATTTCTGTTGCGCCCCAACAAAGCGCTTTTCAACTGTAGGGTCACACTCTCGTCTCGTTTAGTTCCCGAGGATTTATTTCTTACCTCCACGTTCAGTGGAGATTTTAAAGCTCTGGTAGCTTCCAGACCCTGGGAAGGAGGCAAAACCACGAGCTCCTTTCAGGTTGCTTGCGTGATGCCCATTTCACAGGCCTTCAGTTACGGGCGTCTAAAAAGCTGACTTAGAAGGCCGAGTACTGGGGGGTACTAAATTCTGGGGGTAGTGCCAGCTCCCTGAATCATGAGACACGGGTGCCAGGTGTAAATAATATGCTACTGTGTTCTGTAATGTTCTTATTAAAAAAAAAAAAAAAAACAAAACCAAACAACCAAAACAGTCATTGTGTAATGCCTGGATGACTGTTCTGTCAAGCAGGAGCCATTTAAGAAGGAAGGTGACTCCCAGCTCCTCCCCGTTTTTTTAAGCAAGACCTCATGTGAATTACCTTCCAATTTCAGTATTCCTCTTTAGAAGCTCTTATATTTATTTATTCATTTATTTAGGGAAGTTCTGTATAAGCAGAATGAGTGGGTGAGAGGGTTTTTTGCTTTGCAAGCCATGTGGGCAAGTTTCTTCTCACCTTTTCTAAACGTTGCTCGTAAAAGTGATGGAGGCTGTTTGAACAAATGTTGTACTGAGGTGGAATGTGGGCCGCACAGGATAAACAGGGAACAGCTTGTAACTAGTTATCGATCATCCCAGGAAAGGATGAAAAATCAGAGGAATTTATTTCACTTGTTCCCAAAGCTTGCTTTCGTAGATTAAAAGTGATGAAGTTGCGAACTCCTCTGATTTGCAGATTGAGCTTCCCTGGATTTTTGATTCAGCTGTCACAGAAAACGACTGTATAAAAACTACTAGTAAGTGTTTGTGGCTATCGGAATTGAAGTCTGCTGTAATTCAAGTTTGTATCTCAATGGCCAGAATCCCAGGCTTCGTTTTGCTCAGGTGAGCCCCAGGGGGGTGATACAGGGTGGCACAAGCTGGAATGGCAACCCAAGGGAAGTGTCAAAAGTAGTTCTGTTTTTCTTTGTGACACTGAGGCATACCCGGAATACTCTTCTCTCCAGGTTAGTCCCAGGAGCAGAGGAGACTAAGACTGCCCAGCCTATGGCACTCCAGCTGACTGAGAATGCATGGGAAGCCAGCAGGATGACATACCAACCCGGAGCAGCATTCGCTGGTGTCCTTAACTGCATTCCTAATTGAGGATGACCCAGGCTCAAGAGTTCTTTCTTTTCCTTTTATCTTTTTGGTTGTTTGGTTTTTTTTTTTTTTTTTTTTTTTTCTGGTAGTGGTTTTTGTTAACAACCTTTCAAATGTGATATTAAGTGTTTTTTTTTTTTTTTTCTGCCAATTCATATTTCTAGCAAATAGTGTTTTAAGACAACTGATATTATAGTTTATAAAAGACTTTATAAAGCTGCCTTTTTTTTTTTTTTTTTTTTTTGTGGCAGATAAACTGAGGTTTCAAAGCTGTTTTGTTCTGAAGCAGAGTGATTAGATGTAAGAAGAATCTACTGAAGGGGAACAATGAAGTATTTATGGCCCCAGTCAAGGAAACAGTTCAAGCTCCTTCTGTGTTTGTCATAAGGAGGTAGTTGCGTGCAGTGTAATTCTGCTCTCAGGCTCTCATTTGTGTATCTAATTATTTGTTCTGTTGCTGATTTCATTCTGCACCAGGAGCACGAGTGTTAAATTTGGCTCTGGCAGGCCAGGAGTGGAAGGAAGCCTCCGGGGAGGAGAAGAGAGATGCACCTGCATCAGCGGGAGGAAAGTTACTTCAGTTTTGGGGCTATGGGCCACCTGTAACTCAGCACAGAACGCAGTAAAATGGGGCTTGGTGCCCTGCAGCTTGTGGGCACAACGGTAAAATAAGTAAACGACCGCCTCCATTAGAAAGCTTTAGCTTTCACCTTTCGACTTTGACACTGGGCAGCTGTTTGGTGTTGAAGATTTGCTGGTGGCTCCGACAGCTCCGTGAATCTCCCAGCGCTTCTTTCCTTTCTCCCTTTCCCCCTCTTCTGCCGGTTCAGTTTGAGGGCGTTTGGCAGCACCGGGCTCTTCATCGTGGCCAAACGGCGACTCGGGAGCCTGGGAAAGGTGCAGACGTGGGGTGGTGAGCCATAAAAGAAGAAACAGGGCAGCGTGGGCTGCGAGAGTGACTGTGAGGCCCTAGCGGGGCCCCGTTGGTTGGGGGGTGCGTGTTCTGCTGTGGCCAGGATGGTGCTGGGCTGGGCTGGGTCGGGTGCAGCTGGTGGAAAGCCGGACAGCACGTGGACCTGGCAGTGCTGGCTGGGGGTGCGCGTGGGGGAACGCGTGTGTGACGGGTGCGTGCACAAACACTGAGGACGGAAAGGTAACAGGAAAACAAAGTAGTACACGAGAGGATGGAATCGGCAGTGCTGGATTGTATAAACAGGGTTTTCTAATACCTATACAAGTTTTTAGGAAATGCAGTTCCTGGGAGTTACCTGTTTAGTAACGTTTAACAGATCTGAAATATTTCCTGGAATTATTCGATAAAATAAAACGCTGCACTGTCATCCTGGCCCGTCCCTGTGTACTCAGTGCCAGGTGTGTCTCTTAGAGCACGAAAGGTATTTATTTTAAACATGAGGCTTTCAGCAATGCTCTTGAGTTCTGATTTCTCTTGGTCTTGCAGAGCTATTTGGCAGAGTTTGCTCTCTTCGTTCTTTCCCGTGTCACTTCTGCCCCTGAGGGCTTGCTTCCAGCAGAACAGTCAACAGGCCAAACTCAGCAGGTGTAAATGAGGGGAGAGCAATTACACCAATTTCACTGTAGACAAACCTTCTTACTTGATAGCTGAACATCATTCACACCAGCCAAAATTGTTGTCCCAGGGAACAGCTTTCTATTTTTACTGTTCTTTCCGAAGAGCTGTAACTTAATACTTGTTTCTTTTACAAAACTCGTCCCTGCGGTGAGGTTAATATAGGGAAAGGACATTAAAAGGAGTTCATCTGCCCGAACAGGGACTGCAGAGCTATGGGTTAAGCATCCAGCCCTCCTGAGGCAGGACAGAGATGTTCGTTTCCAAAACACAGGCCATCTCTCCGTACGGTGGTAGGAACACGGGGCCTTTTTGAGCTTCTGTTGTATTTTGGGGAACCAGCCCTGACCCCTCTCCGCAGCGGGCCCCGGGCCAGGGCCATGAGGTGCAGGGACTGAGGAGCCCACAGCGCTCCCTTCCTACCCCCAACACACCACTATCGCCCCCTTTTTTTTTTACTGCTTGTTTACGTTTTACTGCTTGTACCTTCCCCCGTGTCCTCAGCTGCTGAAAAATCCTCCCGGAGCATATAGCAGAACCGAAAAGGATGAAACTGTGTCCCTGTCAGTTCATAGCAAGGGTAAAGCGAGAGTTTGAGGAGGACTGAAAGAGAAGATTCCTTCAAATGCTTTACTGTTTGAAAATTGAAGGACCTGCTTAGAGGAAGGCAAAGAACTGTGACTGTTTTGACAGCGTCTTGCTCGTCTTCAGGGGAACTCGCACCTGACTGAGTCTGCGTGCTTTGCTGAAAGGTCTTTCCTCCTTCAAATCGCTTTTATGTTTAAGATCAGGTCTGCTGCGTTAGGTCCCAAGCAGCGAGAATTTATATTACTCAGACATTTCAAAATCCTGAATTTCTCTGCGAAATATTTCCGGAAGTATCAGCTGTTACTATAATGCAAAAATGTTTGAAACGTATTTTCAGAATAGCTCCTGCTACCTAAAAACTGGCAACTAGTATTGTCTTCTCTAAATCAAACTTCACCTGATGTGTCAGTCGTGGGATAGAAACTGTCTGTCTGGAGGACAGCACGCCAGCTCTGCTGCCCAGGGCACAGAAGGTGCTGGATAGTCACCATCAAGATCTGTGGTTGATACTAACGGCAATTTTAGGTGTTATTGTATGTTCTTACTGGGCAAATTTACTTCCTTATGCGGACTGTAATTGTGACTAAGATAGTAATATGCCAGGAAGTCAAGGTACATGTGACAGAGCAATAGACATTACACTTTCTGCAACCATTAAAGGAAATGTTTTATGAGGCTTAGCAATAATTTCTCCAAGTTTTCTCATTTTTAGAGGGGAAGTTTCTAGTTGCTCATAATGAAACGCTGGGGTTAAGCCTTCAGAAGAAACCAATCATATTGGCAGGAAATATTAACAAGAAAGCGGCTTTTTTGCAAGTTATAGACATGAAGAACAACATTTGATTCTAACAAAACAGCATCCCAACAAAAACATATTTGTCAACACACTTAAAAAAATATAAAAATAAAAAAATTGGTTCACCTGCTGAGTAAAAGTGAACTGCAACATTTTCCAAAATCAGAACTGAAAAAAATATCCAGAGGAAGGACAAACTTGCTGTACTGTTGTCTTTTGGGGTACACATTGCTGCGTAGGACTCAACTTTTACACCAAGGCCACACCAGATGGTTCTTTTGCTAGACTGAAAGCTGGTAAGCAGGAGAAATATTTCCTCATCCCATTTCCGCCATCTTCCCTCTACGACTGAGTCTCCTCTGCAGGGAACTGAATTTGCTAAGGGAAACACTTTATTAATTTTCTCTTTTGAAAGAGGAGCTAATGTATTCTTGGTGGTTAATGTGGCCTTGGTTATAGTAAGATGCATCACTTCAGTCAGGGATGGCTTAGAAAACAGCACTACTTCATTTGCTGTGACTTTCCACGGTCTCTGTGAATGACTACATATAATACTAAAACTTGCAAAAACCTGTTAATAATATTAATGAGGCATTGAAATACATGGAATTGATGACAAAGCTGTTATCTCCAGAAAAATATAATCACTGATAAACAGACAGGATTCATGGTTTTACTTGAGATAAAGCACTCCTGGTGTCTATGTGTTTCCTATTAAATTATACTGTCTTTTTTTTGTATGCATTTACATTTTGGTGTACACGGAGTGGCTTAAGCTGTCCTTCACCCCTCCTCCCAACAGCTACTCCACCTGTTTATTGCTTTGTCTCCTAAACTGTGCCAGAATAACTGGTTTTGTGCATATATAATGAATTAAGACAGAAACTGGGTAATTAATGGTTTTCTGGTTTTAATCTGGATCACTTTCCTGATTCGGTTCATCACACCTCTACGGACCCAGCTGTCCTGACTCAGCTAAAGAAGAAAGAACAAAACAAGTGGAGGAGAGGGCTGGCTGGGGCAGGAGAACCCAGCAGAGTCCCTGAGAGATACATGGAAAGCTGTGGCCTCAGCAAAGTTCAGTTACCTTTACCTCTTCATTCACTCTTCAGGAAAATTAAAGAGAATTCACCTGCCCGTGAGCAGACTGCCTGTGAGCACTCGTCAGTGGTGTCTTCTGTCATACTAAGATACGACTTGTTACTGCTTTTGGAAATACGGTTTGATATTTGCTTCTCAAATTCACTCTCAGAGGTGCGTTCTCTGCTAATCAAAACACAAGTAAGAAATCTCTTACCTTCTCTTCCTTTTCTTCTTCTTCTCTTTTTAAGTAAGCCAAGAGCTCTGATTATCTTGCTGGTCTCTAACTGTGAGCTTCGCTAAGTCATCACTCACATGCATAATGTGTTAATTTACTGTGTGCTATCATATGTGAATTGGCCTTGACAAAATTGTTGCAAGAGTTGATCTCTTTTCTTTGTTTTTGCAACATCAGTTTTGTGGGAGAAACCTCGGTAGTCAGCATCTTGAAGCAATGCTTTCTATTCTGCTTGTATCTCCATAGGTACTTGGATAAATGATACTGTATTGTCTTGGTGAGATGATACCTGTGCAGTTTTTATGCCACTTGAGATACTAGTTTAATTGGCCTAAACATCAGATTCTGCCAGTAGCCCAGAGGATAGTGTGGAGACTGGCAAATCCCCAATAATATTAAAATATATACCAAGCTGGCCTTAACGTGCTTTACCCACACCACATGTAACTTAGAAAGGGCATTTTATATGCTGTGATTATTAATGGAAGGTTAAAAAGTCAAGCTTTTAAGTGTCCACAAGGCTAGACTGTGAGTAATCTTGCATGGCAGTTAGATGCAGCAGAACAATTCAACAGAAGTCAGTCAAAGTTAGTAATACATGCCTAAGTGTTTTCCATAATAAAGGAGAATGTCCTTATGTGTTTGCTAGAAAAGGGATTTTGTATTCTGTGCATATAGCTAAAATCCACAGAAGTGTGTGGAGTGTACCACACTGTAGGTTATGAACTGCTTAAAGCAATGGGATGGTTCAGCTTTTCAGATACCTGATTTTATGAAAAGACACTCGTGGATCTTAACAGTAATTCAACTTAACAGATGATTTGCTAGAGTGTATTTGTAAATCCATTCAGATGGTAAAGTGGTAGAGAAAAATTTTGCTGCAGTGACTGTATCTGGAATTAAACACTTTGGACACTAATTTTACTGGAAAAGCAGTAATTAATTTCTACCAGGAGAGGCTGCTCTGCACCTGTTTCTTGGCCGCACAGCCGTGCCAAAACCGAAACCTGGCTGGGCTGCAGCTCTGCCTGTGTCAGACGTTCACCCCCTAATTTCAGACAGCTTGCTGGAAAGGTTCCTTCCCCTCGCATATGTGTGTGTGGGTACACGCTCACACCAAGTCTCCTGTGAGGCTCTGAAACATCACTTTTAGAGTAGAGTCTTTCACTCAGTAGTGGCAAGGGGCTTGAGGAGCTTGAAGGGTTTTGTGTCTCAGCTTCCCTTAAGATAAATAATAAATAAAAATCAATAATTAAGTAATGCTGTGTAGTATTATTATTATAAATAAAACGAAACGGCAATAATAAAAAACTTTTAATGCCATTGTGGCTCTTCTTACTACACTATTGAGTGGCTTACAGTTTTGGCACAGATAGGAGAATGTGAGAACTCAAAGCATTGCAATCCTTCTGAAAAATTCCATGCCATTTCCCCCCTAACCCCTACCACCCAAGCCCCAGAGCTTGCCTTCCCCTTGGAGCAGCGAAGGCAGAGCTACCTTGGGCAACCATAGCTGTGTTATGAAATGCTGTCAGACTTCTTGGCTTTCTTAGGTTTGCCCACAGCCTCCGCTCCGACATTCCTGGTTGAGCTCCAGAGCCACCTGAGCCTCCCTGAGAGCCGCACCAGAGCCTGGACCCCACCACCCGAAATCAGCATCCCGCCTGCTGGCACTTGCTGGGCATGCACTCGCCCCTCGAAGCTCCTGAGCATGCCTGCAGCCAGCTCCTAGCAAGGCGAGCACAATTCCTCAGCCTCCGAGAAGGAGATTCCCTAAGCGATGGATTGAGTTAAGCATCATCTTTACCCAGGTACTTGTTTGGTAAAGGGTTTCTAGCTGTGCTCTTCGGCGCCGAATAATTTTGTTATTCTTGTACAGTTGTCTTGGATGATGTCTCCTAGGTACTTTTTTGGTAAAAGGTTTCTAGCTGTGCTCTTCAGGGCCCAATAATTTTGTTATTCTTGTACACTGAGTTAAGCATCATCTTTACCCAGGTACTTTTTTGGTAAAGGGTTTCTAGCTGTGCTCTTCGGCGCCGAATAATTTTGTTATTCTTGTACATTGAGTCAAGCATCATCTTTACCCAGGTACTTTTTTGGTAAAGGGTTTCTAGCTGTGCTCTTCAGGGCCGAATAATTTTGTTATTCTTGTACATTGAGTTAAGCATCATCTTTACCCAGGTACTTTTTTGGTAAAGGGTTTCTAGCTGTGCTCTTCAGGGCCGAATAATTTTGTTATTCTTGTACAGTTGTCTTGGATGATGTCTCCTAGGTACTTTTTTGGTAAAAGGTTTCTAGCTGTGCTCTTCAGGGCCCAATAATTTTGTTATTCTTGTACACTGAGTTAAGCATCATCTTTACCCAGGTACTTTTTTGGTAAAGGGTTTCTAGCTGTGCTCTTCAGGGCCGAATAATTTTGTTATTCCTGTACATTGAGTTAAGCATCATCTTTACCCAGGTACTTTTTTTGTAAAGGGTTTCTAGCTGTGCTCTTCAGCGCTGAATAATTTTGTTATTCTTGTACTTTGAGTTAAGCATCATCTTTACCCAGGTACTTTTTTGGTAAAGGGTTTCTAGCTGTGCTCTTCGGCGCCGAATAATTTTGTTATTCTTGTACAGTTGTCGTGGATGATGTCTCCTAGCTACTCTTTGCTTTATGGTCCTAGGCAGCAAGACCTGGCTCCCTTTGAGGTGTCTGGTCAGCTGGAGCAGGACCCAGCTTCTGGGGGACTAACAGAGACTGGGAAAGCTGGTCCTTGGGCAGGCTTATGGGGGTCTGGTCCTCAGGACTGGGCAAACGGAAGAGAGAGATGGTGGGCGTTTGTGAGAGAGCTAGGGAGAAGGGGAAGAACGTCGGTAGGGATTTTTGGTGCCTGCTGAACAAAGCCGGGGCCGCTCGGTGACCCGTGTCCTCACCTGCGACTCCGAGCGGGGCTGCATGGCTCCCGCTCGTCCCGCCCTACCCTGCTGCACCTGCACCCGACACAGACGGCTCCGCGCTCACCCTGGGCTCTGCCCGGTTCGTGGATGATTCTCCGGGCCGTGGATCTGTGCTGGGGCCGTGGCTCCCTCACGGAGCAGCGACAGGAGCCCCGTGGGGGATGCCTGCGCCCCGGCTCTGACGCGCAGGGTGCTCCAAGCAGGGCCCAGGGGCAGGTGGTGACAGCCATGTCCGAGGAGGACCGTCTTGTCAAGGCCACGGACAAGGTTTGCTCCTGAGCAGGGAATTGCGTCTTCCTTGCCTGAGTCAGAGGTGCTAAAACATCCGAAAAAAAAAAAACAAAACAGTCGTAACAACCCCAAGGTCTGAGTACGGGCAGGTTTAACGATTGCTGTTTGTCCACACAGAGCGGGAAGCAGTTTGACTGCCCAAGGTATGAAATTTATGAACACAGTCTTGAGAGGGGATGGTTTTGATTTACACTGGCAAAGTGTGTAAGGTAGAGGAGTCCTGGGTGTCCACATGCCGTGAGTTGAGTTATAAATGAGATATTTCTGTTCATTCACAGTCTTTAATGAATACAAACTATAAGAGCACGCTAGGGAAAAAAAATGCTGTTTGTGCCACCAGGGAACTGGACCTGGCTGTTTTCAAAACTCCTGAGCATAAAATGGTGCATCACGTTCTGATTTAATAGAAAAATGTTGTAGTTTTCATCCTTCCATATTCCCTTTTTTAGTTACAGCCTCTGCTGTGTTTATTTTTATTTTTTTTTTTTCCTCATAGACCTTTTCTTCCCAGGCCAAATTGTTCTTTGTCTGTAAGCTTCTCTTTATTGCCCTCCATGATCACTCCCACTTGAGTCAGGACTACACACACAATACAGAAGCCTAAGCTTCAATTTTTTACTCTCAAATGCTTCTCAGAAAATCAATCCTTTTGTTTACGAGCTCTCACTTTGTGAGTGCGTTAAAGATGTGTCTTCACCAGCCAGGAGACCTCTCTTATTTCCCTTCAGCTGCAGAGACGAGGTGATGGCTGTGTTTATACAACAGCTTTCATCCCCAATTCCAAGTGGTGCCTTGACCTCTAAGTCACTTGTAAAAGCCTCCAACTCTCTTAAAACTTAAATCCAGTACTCAACTTGTGGTCATCCACAAGTACTCGACCAGCACGGAGATCAGGGTTTATAATCCATACAGTGCTGTGTGGATGTGAAAATTAGCCAGATGCTGGTCCAGGGCATCTCCTGAGTACACTCGATTCACGTGGAAGTCAGTCAGTCAGTCAAATAGCTACCGCTGTCCTCCATCCCGCAGGCAAAGCGAAAATGATGGTTGTGAGCAGCTTCACACCAAGTAAATTCCTATCTGCATCCACTCTGGAGTTGTGAATTTTGCACACATTATTATTTTGGAGTCATTTGCATGTATTTGCATATCTATGTCTGTTTAGAGGACTTGCCAACAATATACAGTGGAAACGGAAGGGAAAGCCGGTTGTTAGTGTTATATTGTCACTAATATATGTTGTTTAATTCCAGAGCTCCTACTCCATGGATTATGTATCTACTTAGGCAAGCGCTGGCAATTCTGGAGGCGTAAGTGGATTCTCCTCGTCAGACACACTTTGGAATAATTCTGGGGCAGCTTTAGACAGGGCAGAGTCCGCTCTTACCTAGGAGATACAGTAGCTAAGGGCTTGGGAAGGGATGAGCAGGTTAGTGAGTTCTGCAGAGTGTTTCCAACAGCCAGCATCCAGCTCGGCGTTGCCAAGCACTGCCTCCTTGGTTGCTTTTTGTTTTTGAGTAGAGACGGCATGAGCAGGCAATAAATGTATTTTTAAAGACTGCTCTGGAAGGTTTGAGAGTAACCAAGCAACAAAGGTACTACGTATTAAAAATGTAGCATACAAAAGGACAAGGCAACAAGAATTCTTCCACTAGTATCAAAGATAGATGATTCATTTCTTGCACTGTCACAGAAATGTAAATCCAGACCAGCCTCGTTGCAGATAAAGGATCCATGGTGTTGGAGACTGCCTCTGTGGCCTTGTAGTCCTCCATGCTCACATCTTTCAGTGCCTGTAGTTAGAGACAGTAGGAGACTGTCCCTTGGAGGAGTAGTTAATGGAGAAAATAGCTTTGTAAGAAGTGTTTTTGTTATATTGCACTGCTGTTTGAGGAACCTGTGCTTCTGCCAAGAGAACTTTAAAAATGGCATGCCATTCAGCCCGACAGTCTTCCTGTAACTGAGCAAAACCACCTGCAAGGGTGCAAAACACCTAAGTGACTGGAGCAAAGCTGTTTGCCATCACCTGAGTACCTGATCCAGTTTTCTAAAATGGGCTATGCGTTGCTTACTGCCGAGAGGAAAAAGGCGAACAAGATTAAAGCCACTGTACTGGTGTGCTGGGTTTGTGTATGGTGGGGGTTTTGGTAGCAGGGGAGGGGGCTACAGTGGTGCCCACCCCCTGTGAGAAGCTTCTTGAAGGTCCCTCGGCTCCAGGTTGGCCTGGCCTCTGATTAAGGCTGAGCCAATTAGCGACAGTGGCCGCACCCGTGTGCTAATGGACCTAAGCAGGGGAACCTGGGAGGAGGAGGGGTTGTGGGGGGGAGACACCTATGCGAGCAGTGAGGTCACTTGAAAGGAGGTGGTGGTGGTGCTGGTGCTGGTGCTGCAGGTGCTGCTGCAGGTGCTGCTGCAGGTGCTGCTGCTGGTGCTGCTGCTGCTGGTGCTGCTGCTGGTGCTGCTGGTGCTGCTGCTGGTGCTGCTGCTGGTGCTGCTGGTGCTGCTGCAGGTGTTGCAGGTGCTGCTGCTGGTGCTGGTGGTGCTGCTGGTGCTGCTGCAGGTGCTGCTGCTGGTGCTGCTGCTGCTAGTGCTGCTGGTGCTGCTGCTGGTGCTGCTGGTGCTGCTGCTGCAGGTGCTGCTGCAGGTGCTGCTGCTGGTGCTGCTGCTGCTAGTGCTGCAGGTGCTGCTGCAGGTGCTGCTGCTGGTGCTGCTGCTGGTGCTGCTGGTGCTGCTGCTGCAGGTGCTGCTGCTGCTAGTGCTGCAGGTGCTGCTGCAGGTGCTGCTGCTGGTGCTGCTGCTGGTGCTGCTGGTGCTGCTGCTGCAGGTGCTGCTGGTGCTGCTGGTGCTGCTGCAGGTGCTGCTGCAGGTGCTGCTGGTGCTGCTGGTGCAGGTGCTGCTGCAGGTGCTGCTGCTGGTGCTGCTGCTGCTAGTGCTGCTGGTGTTGCTGCTGCTGGTGCTGCTGCTGCTGGTGCTGCTGCTGGTGCTGCTGCTGCTAGTGCTGCAGGTGCTGCTGCTGGTGTTGCTGCTGCTGGTGCTGCTGCTGGTGCTGCTGCAGGTGCTGCTGCTGGTGCTGCTGGTGCTGCTGCTGCTGGTGCTGCTGGTGCTGCTGCTGCAGGTGCTGCTGCAGGTGCTGCTGCTGGTGGTGCTGCTGGTGCTGGTGCTGCAGGTGCTGCTGCAGGTGCTGCTGCAGGTGCTGCTGCACGTGCTGCTGCTGGTGGTGCTGCTGGTGCTGCTGCTGCTGGTGCTGCTGGTGCAGGTGCTGCTGCAGGTGCTGCTGCTGCTGCTGCTGGTGCAGGAGAGCAGTTTTGGTGAGAGGGCAGGCTGTCCCCTTGCAGCTCGCAGAGGTCAGCGATGGAGCCCCATGGCCCCGCAGCCCGTGGAGGAGCCCAGGCCGGGGCAGGTGAGCCTGAGGGCTGCGGGCTGGAGCGGTGTGTTGCTGGGAGCAGGGGCTGCCACAGGTTGCCCGGAGAGGTTGGGGAGTCTCCATCTCTGGAGATACTAAAAAACCTGAGTGGGCGTGGGCCACAGCAGCCTGCTGTAGCTGACGCTGGTTTTGCTGGGGGGGGACTGTGCGGTCTCAGGAGGCCCCTTCTGACATAAATGATCCTGTGATTTTGTGATGCAAGCTTTAAACATAGGTGCATACTGCTTGGAAGCGATCTGCCTGTGCGTACAGGATATTTATAAAGCAAGATGCCGAGATTTTGAAAGATTACTAACATTGCATTTGGCAACATGCTTTTTTCATCTTTTATCAGTGAACAGGGAGAATCTATTTAAACTAAACAATCTGAAGTATTTGCCTTATACAAAATACGCCCTTAGCAAAAGTCACGCGGAACACTTTAGGTTACCACAAAAGTATCCTTAGGAGCCTTTTCAGCTGTTGGCAGACCTTCCCCCCCTCCCTCTTGGCAACAGCATTTCGGAATGCGTTTTGCAGGAAGGACATTAATCCTTTACTGTTACCATGTGAGCTAGCAGATATCCTTAGTAGTTGCCAGTCCCCTGGCTCCTCTCTCACAGACGCTCATGCATTCAGGCTTCCTACTTCCCTCTGTCCCATCTCTTGAGGCCTTTGTGCATATACAAAGGACAGGCTTTCTGCTGTGGTTTGTTTCTGGTTTACTGATGTTGTCCCTGAAGCCGCTTGACGTGCTGATGAACGATGCCTGTTCCTCCTTTTCTGAGGAGCTGACGACACTGGCGCTTCGCCCCTGGGAAGGCAATAATCTCCCTTGTTACTTGGAATTCGTTCAAGTCATCTCGCGCCAGTTTGAATTGCAGCAGTGTGGCACAATACCTTGTGGGCACGTAACAATATCACTGCTGCATCTGGGGAAAGAAAGATGCGTATTTAGGATCTCTCAACAAGTCTTTGAAGTGCTTACTGGACAGTACCTGATGGGTAAAAGCGCGGTCATGCCTTTGGAAGGGCTAGGGTTGGTAAGAGAGTACCTGTGAGACAGGACACCTTGATTTGAACCACAAGAATCTGCTCTGCGTTTTAATTTCTGTGTTTTAACAGAGCTCTGCTGTGCATTTGTGGGCCTAAGTAATAACGCCAGAAGTTTCTCAGGAAGTAGAGTGAGAGCTAAAGGGGGCAATAGAGATGTTTTTCAGAGGACAAAGGTGGAGTGCAGGTGCTTTCTGCCTGGCTGCTAGGTCAAGTCCTTCCAAACACTTAAAGCAACCAAAATAGATTTTAACATGAAAGGAATCGCAGTAGCTGAGTAAAGGAGGAGTAAGAGCTTTAATCTACTCTTAAAGGAAAACACGAATGCAGTACTTCCCCGATATGCTTATACCCATCACTAACAATTGCCTCTGTATTTTAAATCTTACCTTTCAGGAGAACTTTTTTGTCCTCTCTGACAAGGACTGTCTAACAAAGCAGGTCACGCTGGAAGTTCCTCTGGTGCTTCAGTGTTTTTCCCTAATACAGGTCATCAAGGGGAGTGGAGCAATTTAACGATCGGAATGGCTCAGGGAGTTTCAGCTTCATCTGGCCATTTCCAAATTCCATTTCTGGTCCCTCCACTTTGCTGCTTCAGTGCAGTTTTTTTCCCTTCATGTGCATTAACTCTAATGGTATGTTCCATATATAATCCGTTGGCGGTTTCCCTGCTGAGACAGGCCGTTCTGGTGATGGTTTCATTAGGGCATGCCTTGCTGGGGACCTGGCTGGCCCCCCGGCATTACCATGTGCTGCACTGGCAGCATCTAATCCAAGCTGGCAGAGCCCCCCGCGGTGACAGCCTGCACGCGTCGTGATTTATATGAGGGTGTGCAAAGAATTGGGACTGGACAAGGAGGCTGTGTCAGCGTTGTTGCACCTTTTAATTCGGTGAACGCGTGCTACGTTGGGCAGCGCTAAAGTTTAGGAGGACTGGGCAGGAGGGAGGGACATGACACAGTTCCCACAGGCTCCCCAGGAGGAGCGTGCACACAGTGTGTCTCTAGCTCGTCTGTTCACACAGGGCAAAACCTGCTGTGAGTCAGTGCTCATTGCACAGGGCTCTGCGGCAATGGCCCAGGCTCCACCACCAGAGGCCTGCTGTGATGTATTTTGACATCTGTTATATATATTATAAATTGTAATTGGGTGAATTAGATGCGATTATCATGAAAATGTTGTGCCTAAATGTGCACGAAGCACTGTAAACATCATTAGTCTTTCTGGGACATGCTTGGCAAACAGCACTGTAAGCTGTACGTGGCAGCAAGCAGAATGTGAGATGTGGCCTCTCCGTGGGAATGAAGGGAGATGCATTTCAACAAAAGCCCCTAATCAATATCAATATTTTAAGAGCTCAGTTTAGCAGCTGCTGGTAGAACTATGCCAGGGGTCCTTTGGGATACAGCCCAGCGCTGTGTGTGCAGCTTGCCACTTTTTTTTACTAGTCTGTTGGGAAGGTCCCCTCCAGCTTAGTAAGTGCTGCTGCAAAAACAGACTTAAACTCTGAATTAATTTCCATGTGTGTAGACCCAGTGGGGATAGAGAAGTACTTCAACGAGGTCAAGCAGGAGAAACCTGGCCAGGTTCTGGTAGAAGAGTCTAGCAGAGCCACAGAGGCAGAGCAGCTTCAAGGGCTGCAACTAATCCAGCAAAGCCTGGTCTTCAGCAAATTGGAGGAGCCACCTTTTCTTTCCATATTCCTCCTCCACCCCCCAACATTTCTGTCAGCAAAACTTTGTTCACGAGCTGGTTTGAAAGAAGTGACCTGATTACTCCTGTGGGAGGGTGCTCCTGGCAAAAGAGCCTGTGAGGCTCTTCGTAATGGGTCTGAAAGTTTCGTGGATGATGGACAATAAATGAAAGTAGGTGCCTTGGATAGATGTCCACACTGAAAATCAGCAGCTGAATCTGCCACAGCAAGAATAAAGGGTTAATCATTCTTTAGTATGCTGCAAAATATACCATCTGCTGCATAATTTCAAATAAGGAGCATTTAAAACACATAAAGCACATTCATTCTGTAGATTTTTGCTGAGGAAAAACTGCGACTGTATTTTGCAAATAAAATGCCTGTCTAGAAACAGTTCACCAACTGCAATCAAACTGATCAATCTTGTTATAACTCAGTATCAGACAGTAATTGCAGTCAGTTGCGGAGCCGCGGACGAACGACATGCCGAGACGGGTTCAGGGTGGGTGATAGAGCATCAATCACCGTGTGTGTTTATTGGTCCAGGGTACACATATTTATACAGACAATGATAATTATTATGCCTACTAGTCACTAGCTGATTGGCTTAAGCTCCAAAGGTCGTATTTGCACGGTCCACCTACTTGCAGTTAGCTAACAGCACAAGCTTCTCATCACACTAAGTTTCTCATGCCACTATTTCTGATTCCTGTTGACTTGTTTTCGATACACGACGGTACCGTAACACAATGTTTCTCAGACCACCGTTACCATAACACTGGGTTTCTCAGACCACTATTCCTAATTCCCCTTAACCTGTTTTCGACACACCACGGTACACAGGGCTGAAGCATCCTTGACATTCCTCCTGTATCAGCAGCTGCAGGCAAACCCTAGTGGGGCCCAGCATCAGCAGCTAGAGCAGGCTCTGATCGTACAACTGCTCGGGGGGCTCAGGACCCTTGTCTCTGAGCCATTCTCCAACAGTCAGTTACGTTAGAAGTTACTGCAAACAAATTTGCTGGAAGAGAAATTTATTGTATTTATTGAAATGTATGTGTGGAGGGAGGAAGAGTTGATGCCCTAGAATATTGCAAACGGTAATTTGATGTTTCTCAGGCCTCATGAGTTAGAAAATATTTGTCTTGCAGAGCACTGTAGCTTCTCCCCATTTTCCTTTAGAAGAAGAAATGGATTATTAAACATTAAAAAGCATTGTACTTCATTCCGTATGGATGCATATATTCGGAAACCTTATAGCCAAATAATGCAAACAGCACTGAAAAGTCAGATGGCAGGAGCCAAGCAAATGCAACAGCCCCCACTGTCTGCCTTACCTTCATTAACCTCCCTTAATGGGTTTGTGATGCGCGGGTAATTGATGATTAGTTGGCTGTATATAATTATGGCCGCAGAGGCTTTTTGCTGCTGTCTCTCGGTGCCTAGGCTGACAAGAGGGGGCAGTTCCTCTGCTTTTCTGACTCTTGCTGTTCGCTTCTTTCCCAGAGCTGCTGACCCCATGTCAGCTGGTGCCGCCCATGTTGACGGGAGCGATTTGCCCACCGCCACCAGCTCCTGGCCTGGCAGCCAAGCTGTGACTCAGTTAACCTTCCCTTCCGTGACACACACATCATTTCCCAAACCTTTAACTGTTTTGCTGTCCTTCACCTTTGGTGCCGCTACCAAATGTGACCTTTCTAAGTGCTTGTAAGATGCAGAACTTTTGAACCGCATGTTTGGTAGCCACATATGGTGGAGAATGCCATTAATATGTCCTGTGTCTTTACTGCTGCTTCATTTTTGAGTGTAGCTGGTTGTCTAATTTCCTTGCTCTGCCAGAGAAGTCTTTCTCTTGCCATAGCTGTTTCTCTTACCTAAGGAAGCGTAGAAGTGAACTTGGATGAGCTGAATTCTAAAAAGTATCTCTCAGAAATAACCTTCACGTTAATAATGCCTAAAATTGTACAAATAAGACAGCGTCTAGAAAAAGGAAGGCAATTATTTGATTCTTTATAATGTGCATTATTAAGGTATAGCCTATAACGCAGTAACAATTTACAGCAGAGGATGGTAAGAAATTATGATTCTGTGAAACCATGTGTCTGTATTTTAAAACTGTCACACCAAAATTTTATCATGAGTACAAAACTGTCTTCAGTTGGAGTGGCTAAGATGTTCTCATCTTTCGATTGCTCTTTTCCTAAGAGGAACTGTCTTTTTTTCCTGACAGCTTCTGATAACATGCACTCATATTTCTCAAAATAGATATTTTTCCTGTAACACAGTGTTATGGGATGCGTTGACTGTTAATGCTCAGTAAGTGTTATTAACCTCACTCCAAGTTGGACTAATAGCATCAGAGCTGTTCAGTCTTTCTCCTCGTACCATAGGAGAGCGTTCAAGGAACTGAGTGCCTCCCAGTTCAGGAGCTGCTGGTGTTTCCTGAAAGGGAGATGGCTTCATTCGTCCGTCCTATTTCTCTCGGACTGTTGGCTCCTGTCTCCCAGTTCTCTGCCACTAGACCAGTACCTTGCTGCAGAGTCGTGGGGGCTCTTGTGCTCTGGGCCAGCACGTGCTAAACGCGCCTGGCTGGTGTGATGCTCCTGATGGTGGGGTGGGAGAGAGCAGCCCTGCTGAAGGGCATCATCTGCCCTTATCTGCTACTGCAGGCTCTCTCCGCCAGTGACCAGGGACTTCAGATACCTTTCCTGCAGCGTGACTGGATACAGCATTGTCCAACACCTCAGAAAATGATCTGTTAAACTGGGAAAGGAAGTGTTTCGCTAAAATCGGGGCACAAGATAACTCCACTAATACTGGTCTGAGGAGTTTTAATTTGAAAAAAAGAGCGGACAAAGAATCCAATGCGTGAAGGGAGTCGTGTTTCACATCAGTAACCCAAAAGTCTGGGACAGCATCCCAAAATAACTCTTCCAGACCCTTCACAGCTCATCTGAATAAACAGGATGGGTCGTGTAGAATGCCTGGAAGCGAAGCAGAGCAGGGCAGGAAGAACAATGCAGCTCTAACATCACATATCTAATTTTATTCTGCTGAAACTGTGCCCTTGGTTTACATGCTTTCTCTGTAGACTACTCCTTTTGAAGTGATCAATCAGTGGCACTTTTGTGTAGTTTCTCAGGGACATCATGTGCTGTTTAGAGGACTTCCTATTGTCTGGATAGAATGCAGTGTACTTGGATATTTGATTTTTGCCACAACATGAAAGATGTGATATGATTAATTCTAACAGAGCTAGTTTTTTGCCCTGCTATCCCAAGTAAATGGTTATTTTCACAGTAAAACATAGGAATGCTTCTTTTATTTGGCTAATACTTTACAAATAAATACAAACCTATAAATACTCTGCATCCAGTACAGGGGAAGGAAAACAGCAGCAATGCAGCCACCTCTGAGGATGCAACAACCAGCAAGGCGTGTGTTGGGGGGAAGCTTTGGGCAAGAGCTCCACCCTTAAACTAAGTGCTATATATATGCCTTTAGACAGTAGGCAGAGTTTTGGCTTTTATAGTCTGGATGACGTACTTGATAACCTCTGTTATTATAGTATCTGAATATCCTATGCTTATTTTATTTTTAGGTGTCACAACACGGTGAAATTTGTAAGCCTCATTCTACTGATGGTGATCTGAAATATACCGGTGGCAGTGACCCTGAGATGTATAGGGCTGGTCACAGCGGCCTCAAAACACAAGTATCTTTGTGGCTATACTGCTTGGTCCGGGAGTCACCTCTGAAGTGAGGGTTTGCTGCCTTTAGGAGCAAACCCAGGCTGCTCATAGAGCTTACAGCAGCCTACAGAGCTGCAGTTAGAGCTGGCTTGGAGCTGGGGGAGAAGCTTCTCCCAGGGGGGCCCCCTCCCCTGCCACCAAAAAACTCCACCACTCACTCAACCCAGGACACCAAGCTACCCCGTCTGCCCTCGCAGTGAGAGCTTGGCTCCCTTGTCTGCCTGCTGGCGTTTCTTTCAGGCTCCTTGGAGATCTTCTGGCACCACTGAGCCTCAGGGCAAGGGGGGTTTCTAAGCAGCACGAATGCAGGTAAAGTGAATTATTGGCACCTGAGAGGTGCTGGTTCCCGACAGGCCTCTGGAAACCAGAGCAATCAGATGTCCAGTTTAGCAAGGCTGTTTTAGAAATAATTACGGAAACGAAGGGTTTCTCCAGGATTAAAAAGAAAAAAAAAAAAAAAAAAAAAAGCTGTAGCAGAGATGAGAACTGAAACTGTCTCTCAAAAAAACTACACCCGTGCTGTAGTCTTTGGAATAACTTTTACCGTAATCTTGCTGCTGACAGCAAGCCTTCAGGCTCAGCTGAGTGGGGCCAGTCCAGGCGGTGCAGAAAGCCAAAGGGCTGAGCAGGTGTGGCTGGGATCAGATGTGGTGCTCGGTGGTTTCGGGGAGTTGTGGTACCGGTTGTACAATTTGTAGTTACACCACCATCCTCTCCCCTTGGGCTACTCCTAAGAAAAGATGCCGTGTTTTATCGTGACCAAGGCCATGTGTGTAAGGAGGGTGTGTGTCTTTAACGCACCACCGAGCACCTCGATGCTAGCCTTGGTCTGCAGTGACAATTTAGCCAAGAATTGTCCTGAAGTTTAGGATGTGCAGCGCTTCGGGAGCATGCACACCTAAAAGGTCTTTGATGAAAGACTGACTTTCTTCTCTTGAACTTGCTTCTGGTAGGTATTTTCTTATTAGCTTGATTTTGTTTTTCTCTCTCCTTTATTATCAAGTCATGAAGAGTACCTCAGAGCTGGCTGGAGGGATTTGGATACCACTGACAAATGACAGTCTACAGATGTTCCCGTATCTCTGCAATTCAGTTTGTTGCATTAGTCTTTTGCCATCTCTCAGTCGGGCAGTGATAACCTTTCCCATGATAGCCTGCTGGCGATGGGGTATTACTTAACCACTCTGAAGGAGCTGCCAAACAAAGCAGAGTATTCCTTTTCTCCCATACTCTGGGAAGAATAAAGTTTGCCTGGGTATATATTTGATGAGGCTACACCAAGTAGTTTTCTTACAGTTGCAGAACTGCATTTAGCTGACCCAGCGGTGCTCTGCAAACTTTCACATCCAAATGTCTGGGGCAAGACAGGAGGAGACAAACATGTGCTAAACATCATAACGTCTTCTCACAAGTAATTTTGGCTATTCCAGTAGATTGCTATTTATCTGCAATAATGCCTAAAAAATAAGGATATTTATAGGGTATTAATTCCCATCGGACGTATTGTCACCCATTGTCTGACTGACACTTGCCACGTCAGAGAGATTTTGTGTTCTTGCTGTGTGATTTGCCTTACAGATTACTGGCATCCACACCAGGAAGCTGGCATGCAACCAGCAGATAAGAATTAAGTGATGTTGGCTAGAGGCCTGGCTCAAAGATTCAGTGCTTCTTGTGATTCTTGAGAGACTGGCTAAACTTTTGCAGAATAGGCAGGCTGATCTTTAAATTTTCTTGTTTTTTTTCCTTTTTGAAAATGTCTTAGCTGCTTTTCCATTTATTATATTTAGTATCCAGTCTTGGCTTTCTTTTGCAATTTATCTATCTTTTTCAAAATTGAGCTTAATGAGCGTCTCACTTTATTATTAACGGCTGATTACAAGTTCTGTTTCTTCATGATTTGTCCTGCAAAAGGGCAAATCCCCACACCTCCCAATAACTTCTACAGTGCTCACCAGCAGTTTTGTCAAGTGGAAGAGATTTTCATCAGAAGCTTTAGAGCTAAAAAGCAAGCAGAAAAAAAAAAAAAAAAAAAAAACAACAAAAAACCAAGAGACAGAAACTCTTGTTTATTACACTAGCATTAAACTGATATAATTCTTTCGACTTTGAAAAAATCATAGTAACTTTAAAATGGTGTAGTGATAGGCTATTCAGAGTCACTGTCTCTGTTCAGGACTAGTCCTTTGGCTGGTACAAACAGGTCTAGCGCCACTAATTTCAATTTACTGTGACATACATGAGGAGAGGTTTTGGCCGCTGACCTGTCATTCACAAAACAGTTCTGTCACTCATATGAGGAGCGTTTGAGACTGCAGATGAAACATTTCTACTTCTCCTCCTGGTTCTGAACGATGAACATTTCTCACTCCGTAGCTACCTGACATGTGCGTTTGTCCGTACATCAAAAAGATACTGAGACAAGTTGAAAAGTTTTTTCAGGATTTGAGACTTGTTGTTTATCTGTAAAGTTAATCTTGTAGGACAGATGTAAGATTTACTCCATCACTTCCTGTGGGAAATAGTGGTGGCTGGTTTCATTCCTAATGGCTGGGGATTTGCTGTGCAGGAGTTAAAATAGATAACTGGCAATGCATGAGACCAAACGTGAACTTCCCTGTGTGTGAATTACTTCCCAGAGGAGAAGATCTCTCCTAGCTAGAGCTGTAGATTGGAGTGATGATGGAGAATATGCCTCAGCTCCTGAAAAAAATATCACGAGCAGACAATGAAGATTTTGGTAGAGCAAACCTGCGGTGCACAAGATTA